CCGCTACGTTAACCCGCTCCCCCCACTGGATCCGTTCCCCCAGCACCTTTAGAGGTGTCCCATCCTCCCCTCGTAGTTCTGCCAGTTTAGTGGCGTCATCATTGCTTTATTCGATTACTTACTCCGAGCCACTCCCAGAGGGAGTCAGGTTGGCATAGTGGTTCTTTCCTCGCCTTCCACCTCTGCGGTCCGGGCTCGACTCCCAGCCTGGTCCACACGTGGACTGGTTTTTCAGTCCCTACCTGATTCCTTGGGTTTTACCTTGAATAATTCCTGTGGGGTCTCCTCCCACCTCTAAAACTGTACCTGCCTCTCATTGTCTCCTCTCTACAGGCTTCTTCAGGCTTGTGAGCTACAGTGCCTAGAGCGCTTTTGAGGATCCTTGGTGTCATTACCAGAAATAATTAACAACCACCAATATCACTCAACAAAATGGAAACTTTATTTTGACAAAAAGATTATTTCATTATCGGGTTGTCAGTTATAGTGAAAGCATGACGTGTGGGGATTTCGGCGCCGTCCGGTGTTGTGGTTCTTTGGGCAAACGCGTTTTCCTTCGTCTAAAGTTTTTAGTTTACCGTCATAAAACCTGCGATCTTTTTTTATCGAAACAATAAGTCAATAACTGTCCCTTTCCTGTCGGTAGAGGCAAAACTGTTAAAAAGTGGTTAGGATAGGGGAAGTCCTCTTCCAGTGGTGCAGTTTGCTTATCTCGTTCGTGTAAGGAAAGCATTACTGTCATCATACGCATGCTTGGATGAACGCCAGAAACACTGTCATATGATAACAAGGAATCAAAGATTATCACCGAAATCAATAGACTCTTCCACTCATAAGAACCAGTGCCGAATTTTCTCCTATAACGTTTAATTTATTTAGAAAATTTAAACTTGCGCGGATACAATTTGCAGCATCTAAATTTAAATAGATTTCCCTGACCACGCTCTCATAACAACGACAACTGAAACAAGCAACATGGCTGAGATGCCCACCGTGGGCCGGCGTTCTGACTTTTCTGGGTGCACCTTATTTGTCTGAAACCACAACTCAAACAGGCCGATTCAGTTGATTTCGGCGCGATCAGATTGTCTTCTGCCACTATGAATCCACGGACATCTTGTCAGTATCTCCTCAATATGACCAAAGGAAATTGTTTCTGACTGACAAGAACTTCTCGTCGTCTCGTGGAACCCACGTTACCAGTATCACAATGCCTTCAGAGTGCGCCAACGAAGACTTGATATCGTAATGTTAACGGTTCTTGGTTTGTTTCGTTTTTGTTTTTACAGTTTGGACAGTTTGCTTTAAAAGCGAGGCCAAAATGTCGTTGAATGCCGATTTGCTCCGTACCCTGCTGGATCAACTCTCTGATATGATAGGCACGCGTAAGGAGATGATCGACTGGCTCAAGGACTTCATCGACGATATAAAAACACAAGAAATTGCCATCAACAGCACCAAGACAGGGGCGGCAGCTCTGGGCGTCATTTCGACCATCGGCCTCTTCACGCCTTTCGCTCCCCTCGCTATTGGCGGACTAGTCGCGTCTGGAGGTGCGGCCGTGGCAACCACCATCGGTGATCTCATCGCCAACAAAGTGAAGAGCGGTAACCTGGAAGAAAAAGTCGACAGTATGAAAAAGGAAGACTCCGATCTGCAGGATTTGCACAAGAAGATTAAGGAGCAAGCTGACAAACTTGCAAAAGTAAGTTTTTCTCTTAACTGTATGGTTTTTCAGCACTTAAAGGAGCAATATTTTTCATCCCTCTCAAAGCTTCAAGTAAACGAACAACATGGATGAGTTTATTTCTACAAAGAGGCTACGAAGCTCTTGTAACAAAGATACGGAGACACTATTGAATATTCTCATACTATATTCAGTTATTAGTAAATATGTGTACATGATGGCGATATCATAATAGGGGCCTACGCAAATGACAGAAATGAAACACAAGAAAGAAAAATGTGGTGTTCCTCAACTACCAACCTCCAACATAATTCATAGTCGCGAGAGCTAAACTGGTCCCTACATCATCACATGCACATATCCAGTTCCTAAGTGACTTCTTCACGAAGACGGACGCGTCACGATTTGCAGGCTTCCATTGGACGATCGGTGAAGTTGCGCGTTAACTTCCGGTTGCATGGTTCCACGTAAACGGCGATCAACTTGCATGTAACTATGTACAGTGCATGTGCAGTGGACGTGGTTTAAAATCAAGTGACGTCACACTTAACGAACCGTATAGTTGCTGTTTTGCTGATGTTTGGCGCGCACACACATGGATCCGCTTGCAATTTTTAAAGTTCATTTCAACTGTTTGGTATCTTTTGTGGATTTTGCACATTTTAAACAACAAATCCCCCCTTTGTGAGCCTTTCAGTTCCCAGTATAAATGCACATGTGTTACAAACAAAGGAGTTGGATCACACAAAAAAAAACTAGACGACTTTTTGTGCATACTACAGAGTAAGAATTTCGTACCTACATGTATATATAGCATGTAAAATAAATACATGCACATGTAGTTGATGGCATGTTTGTCACTTATTAGTTATTTGATGCACATAGAAGTACCCTGTTAACAAATTCTTGTGAACTCTAGTTTTGTCAAAACTTAAGAGTTCGGTTTAAAACCTGGTACGCACTTTATGCATGTTACGTGTACCGTTTCTGTCTATGAAGGAAGTGTCTTTTGTGCGGTTACAAGTACCGGTGGGTGCTGTACTGTATGCATTTCACTGGATTTAGACAATATTCAAGGTGGTTTGTGAATTTAGTCATGTACTTCGTTTGAAATTTCTTAATTCCAATCCAACTTTGTTTAATTTTGTAACAAAAGGGATAAACGGATGAAAATTATTACACATTGCTCGCTTTCGAAAAGATAATTGAGCCAACTTGTCTCCAATTTTCATAAACATAAAAAAGCGATTTAAATTTTTAAAAAGTCTGATTTTTTAAATCAACAAATCCAATTTTGGGGGGTTCTTTAAAACATAAAAAATTCCCAACCCTGATGTTCGTGGCGCTATCAGATGGGCCAGCGTGAGGATGCGCTTGCCAGGCTACGTGCTACACTTGTGAACAGATAACGGCACACGTATACACCTACCCATACATGCTGCCTTTTGCTTCGCATCGGGAACTTCTCTATGAAAAAACACATTGGACACAGGGGCGTAAGCGTTGGAAATTTCGTTTTCACGAAAGAACAGTCATCTTTACTGGTTAATTTCGGCTAATTAACCACTGTTTTTTATTCTGATTACTGGGATCATGAAAAAGATTACCTTTCAAAGAATCATGTGAAAGTTTCCTCACCGCATGAAGTTGTATTGCACAAAGTAGCAGGTTTTGCATTTTTTTAAAAAGGAAACTCCCCTTTCGATTTTCTCGACAACGTCCCTTCTTCAAAATCTACCTACCTGTCCTTTTATGAAAACAAGAGGACAGTTTGATGACTGAGGAGGTAACGACACATCTGTTTTTTCTCCTTTTTTCATTTAGGAATTGAAAATCTCCACCGAGGAAGCGACACTTTTCCTCTTAGTTGGCGTGCCCAAAATGGTGGTACAGGCTAGCTTGCAGGTGGCCAAGGGAGTCGTTGAAATTCAAAGAATTCTCCCACATCTCCAGGCCATGCACAACGCCATGAAGCTCGGTGCCTCATTAACACAAGCTGCCCGACTGGGTGCCACCACCTTTCAAGGCGGAAGACTGACGGTTACGGGCGTGGAGGGAGGGGCGGCGATCGCAAGGACCACCCTGGCTGTCACCACGTCTGCAAAGGTCCTGGGAGGGTTTGGCGCCGTTATCGGGGTAGCCGATGCCATCTACAGTTGGAGTACCAAAAACCCCAACCGAAATTCAGCCGAGAATCTGTTGCCACAGGTCGAGGGAAACCTCAAGGCCCTTGAGAAAATAGAGAAAGAGTTCTTAGAACTAAAAGAGCTCTAAATCCGCAAAGCTGTGTTAGATAGCTCTGTACTTAGGGCTACTCCTGTACTAAACGGTTTGCTAGAGTAGTTCCACATCAAATTCTTGCATACTGCTGTTCCTATACAAATACTTATAATCAGATCATTCATTCTGTAGTTGGGAATTTCCCAGTAATCTGTGCAGGGAGTGTACAGTCGTGTTCTATCTACCCTCCTCTAGCAGGAGCCTAACAAACTCATAAGATAGATGCTCCAGTCCTAGCATTACATTGCATCATGCACTTTCTTAAGTACGGCCGTTTTTTTAAATTTCTACATGTAAATAAATCTCTATGGCCAATCTGAAGGACTAGGTTCAATTCTGGACTTGATTTGGGGGGGGGAAGACAAAAAAGAAACAATCCTTTTAAAAAGAGAATTGCAATGTGCACAATGCTGTCGCGCCTGTGGCCCTTTGCAGTTTCATTCAGCTATGAAAATTTGTTTTCCAACTTGTGGAATTGATAAAAATTCGGGTCCAACAGGAACAGCTGTATCCTAAATTGGTAGGTTTTAATTCTAGTTTTGTGTTTAGCTGAGTAGATTAACTTGACATACCGACCCACTAATCTAACTCTTGATAATCAAGTTTAGCGAGCGCCCGTAGATGCTTTTAGGCTAGGTTCACACCAAGAACCTCTACATTTTCCCAATGAAGCTTATGTCCTCTACGGTCTTATCCTTACAATGATTATTTCATTTACTTGATTGTTTGTAACCCTTTTCATGCAGCGTATTTTCTTTTTTGAGCGAGTGTTCCAACCTCATTACGGCCTGACGGCACCACAAGCTAATTTTTTTCTAAGAAAACAGATAAATCATCACTACACATNTTGTAAATGATTAAATTGAACTTTTACGAGATTTACTTATTACTTTGTATTAATCTATGAAGTAGAATGACCAAGTAGGAAAGATCAAATATAGATTTGAAGACGATGTCACAGTTCCACTTCGAAATACTGTCCGATAAGCAAATAATTACTAACAAATGTATCTCCTTTCGGAAGTAAAATTTTTAACACGGAAAAGAAAGTTGCTGGGTTCATAACGTTAAGACTGGAAACCAATTAGGGGGCCTATATAACTTTTACTTGAACTTCAATCCAGTCTATGGAGAAATACCCATTTGATGTAAACCTACAAAAGACATTTCCAATTCTTGTAGGAAACAAGGTACAAATCAGCAAATTTTTTTTAACGCATATCATACAACAATTGTACTCAGATGATAAGATGCATGAAACCTACAAGTTATTTCCCTATCAGTACATTCTACTCTAACCAGTGTAAGTAGGCCTACTCAGATTTTTAATGATACTGAAATGTCTTCTAGACCAAATGTAATAAGAAATAATATTGTGTATACATGTCCCATCAAAAGACCTCTTGGAATAAATTTTGACTATCCATTCGTGCTGTCAAGATGTTTCACCCATACACATCCTTGTTATATTAATAAACTGTGTCGAAAGTATAATCGAAAAATATAAACCGAATGAAGTTACACAGTGCATCAGTTTTGTGTGTTGTATTCATTCCCAAACAGCGTGGTTGTAGCCAGTGAGTTATAAAGTTTCTTTCTTGTATAGGAGTGGCGCCCTTTCTGCTCTTTCTTGTGTTGGAGCAGCACCCCAAGCTTTTCTGTTCATCTTGTTGCATCAACCAATATCTTGCTCACGCGCGGATGGCGACTTGATTTTTTGTTTGTTGGGGGTGTGCCACCCGGGCCCCCCGTTGTCTTGAAGCCCGTGGTTTTCCAAGTAGCCCGTCCGGGTTTTTTTGTGGGCACGGAAGGGAAAACACCACAGTTTACCGGGTCTATTGGCTCGATCCTTTCGTTTTCAATTTGTGACTTCCTTGTGTTTTCTTTTACATTTAGTTGTGTGTACTCGAAGATATCCGCCTGGCCGTGCCTAAGGGTGGATCGTGAGCCGAATTTTCGGGGGGGGGGGGCAACTAGGGTGAAATTGTGGAATTTCTTTATCTTTAGGGCTCCTCTGAAGGTGGGAATAAATTTGAGGACCTTTTAACGTGCCATTTATGGAAGGGAAATGGGGGATTGCCCCGAGTCAAGACCCTCTTAATTCTAACGTGGCGCACATCGACTTTCACTTGACTTTCCATATACCGTATTTCCTAACCTCTTGTTGAAAAAAAATAATTTGGTCATATCCAAATTCTTCATAATACATGCTGTCACATTTGTCATTTGAAATGATGGCGTCCAAACTGGGAAAGAACGTGGCGCGCTTGAAAAAATCTTAGTTAATCCCAAATAAACATTTAAGAACTTCTTCAAAATTGATAAATTCTAGATAATCATAATTACTCCTACTTACATACCAAACTAAACGTTTACTAGAAAATTTTCGTATTTTGGGACTGACATTTTAATAGTGGTCATTTTAAAAATTCGGAACCGAGCCCAAATGAAAATACTGAGAGAGTTTTGAAATAGAATATTAGGAGTTTGATGAAATTTTACTTATAATGGGCTTTGGATTTTTAGACCTACGAAAAGATATTTTTTCCCAATACGAATCAAATTATATGTCAAGGAACCATAGACGTATAAAAAGTATTTTCATTTAGTTCCAATGCTGAAAGCCAATTAAACTAACTAAATAACCCAACAGATACGCATCCGAAATTTTAAAAAAGGCTTCATAGGCGCAGATGCATGTCTGGTATCTGCCTCGCGGATCGTGCAGTGGCATATTTTCTATCGTTGAGTTGACCAGACTGTAACCAACAACCCATGGAAACTAAGTAAATACCAGTTCAGTATGATGTCGGACGGGACTCCGTGTTTTTATTTTTAAGTAAGTTACATAATACATGTTTGTATACAATTTGAAAAATGATTCGGGCTATTTATGGTTTCATGCTTTATTTATTTGGGGTAAATTTACGTCTTTGGGACATTTTAGGTTGATATTTGGATCCTTTTTAGGTGTACTACCCTCTAGTACTAGACCCACACTTAGAGCTGTTACAATCTGTCTCTTGTCTGTCGCCTCCACAGCTGCCCAAGTTCAAGGCATGTCTTAAATGCCTGAAATCCAAACTGCAGGATTGTCACAAACTTTGAATATCAATATCTTCTAAAATGAGAATCACTCGAAAATTTTAAGCACCCTAAAGCTTTCCAAAAATGTAAATTTTCCCACATATGGCGCCTTGAAAAACCCGGCCTGTACTACATGCTGACCAGCACTTCTGGGTCCAGTCCACTAATTCAAGCCCCATTGAAACAGTGTAAAATCAGCACCGTTCAGGGCCCAATAGCATACACNAACAAAATTACCCCCCAAAAAGTGATTTTTACGAAGTCCGATTGCAGCCATTTTCCAAGTGGCAACCCTCAATTTTCTCGGGCACTTAGGACCATTTTTCAACCGTAGTTTTTAGCCCTTCTGCTCTCATATGAAAACTCAAAGACCCAGGGAGTTGATCCTGGCAACGATTTACACAATCTCACCATTTTGGGGGCCAAACAATCTCCTTTTTCAAAAGATACTAAGGGGGCACTTTTAATGCTAATGAGCTGGTCAGAAATTCTCACTTGAATTAGTGGTCTGCACCCTTCTTGCATCGGATTTCAAGGCACCCGGCAGGCGCTCTGGTATACCTTGTACCATACAGAACTGGTTCCCTATCATACCTTGCGTGACAGACGAAGAAGGAACCGGTGAAATTGAATTTGAATAACATTAATATGCTTGTCTGTATCATGCTCCACCATTGATCTCCATTATGTGGACTGGAAATAACTAACTTATTTCAGGAAATAACTAACCCACTCGAAAGTGATAATGTTAACTTGTTTTTGTGTGTGTTTGTTTTTAATTCATTTTTTTACACCTATTATCTACGGTCTCGCTTTAGCAATATTTTCACTTTGGGTCGGTTTAATCATGATTTGTTCATTGTGTAAAACTTTGAGAATTCCACCAGGACATGCAATAGGTTTTGTCAGTAAATATGATGTCCAAACTGTCTATGAGTTTTTCCGTCTGGTTTCGATGAGCCAACACTGAAAAAATCATCAGTAAAATGATTTTAATTTTACACACTCTTCACAACCTGACTTAAGGATTCACATTTAACAATTACTTTTTGGCATAAAAAAGTCAGTTTTAACTGAGAACGAATAATTTGTTATGTAGACAAAGTTTCTTTCATTGCGTTGACTTTGAATTCCCTTGTTTGTAACTTCATTCAACAGAAACGTTAACACTCTGCTTCTCACTTTGGTTTCATCTCTGCTCCGAAAAAGAATTCTGTCACTCATATCATCTCGTCTGTCACACGATTTGGGTTCAGTGCGTCAGTAGATCTGACAAACACAAATCATGGCTGTCTTGGATTTTTTTTCGGTAAAATCTGGGGAAAATAAACAACAAATTAGTCGTTCAATTTTTGAAACTACTTTTGCCAATAAGTAACATTTCAGACAGTCTCAACTTCGAGATAGTGAAGTTTCATATAGGCCTACCAAGCCTGATAGGCTGGAGAGACTGTTGTAAATTTCTTACTAGGCCTAACTAGGCTTAAAGTTAAGTTTTATAAAGTACTTGAGAAACTTTCTGAAACTAAATAAGGTGCGACTCACATTTCCTTCTGTTACTTCTCTCAAACTTGACACTGATCTCCGGTAATTCACAGCTGTGTAAACCTCAACTATTCTTTCCAAATTTATCCATTCCAAGTACAGAATTCAGTTTTTCTTCGAAATCTGACGATTGAAGCACAGAAACCTCAACCGGTATTTGAAAAACTCCATTTGAAAGCACACACAACAAAATTCGCAAAGCTTGTTATTTACCCTCCTGAAAATACGCATACCCGGGCCGCGTTTTGGATGCGATGTCCTATCCAATCTGTATTTATAATGGAGATCAATGTGCTCCACACACGTGCTGTGGGTGTACTGTACGCTAGCAAAGTGCACGCCCAACTTACTACTAAGCAGTACTGTGACAATACTAATTATGCATGCATCTACGGCACCTGTTGGGTACCTTGACTTCCGACATACGAAGTGCTGTCTTCATTTTTCAAAATGGCGCCACCCGTGGTCAGCATGTAATACTACAGGCTGGGTTTTTCAAGGCGCCATACATTGGAAATTGTACAATTTTGGAAAGCTCCAGGGTGCTCATATAAAAGTCCAAACTCTGAGGAATACGCCAGTGTAAGTAAAATTGTCGAGTTATTCTCGTTTCGGAAGATATTAGGATTTAAAGTTTGTGACAATCCTGCAGTTTGGATTTCAGGCATTTAAGACATGCCTTGAAGTAGGGCTGTGGTGGCAACGGATAAGAGACAGATTGTAAAAGAGAGCCACTACAGCCCTATTTGTGGGGTTAATTCCCCTCCTCCCTGTAATTATCAGTTCACCCTTCCCCTATTGTTCATGCTGACCCCCTAATGTTCCTCTTGTAAGCAGTACTTTCATGTCATTGAGGTCATTCAGCAGACCAACACTGTACAGACAAGACGTACAATGTACATGTATACGTACATGTAGCTAGGTTTCTTGCTCTGTTTTCCATCTCATCCACTCTTTACAAGTGTCTGCCCCTTTTTGGATTTCTGACTCTGTGTGTTCTAAGAGTAATGTTTCATTGGTGCTATGTTGGTTTTTATTTTTATTCTTTGATTTTCCCTTCCTAGTTTTTTCTGTGGTTGCTTCAAAATCTTTTGACAGTCCACTTTGGCTTCTTGTTTTCATTTTGTAGATCTTTTTTGAATTGTAATTTTGAGATCTGTTTTATTCCTTGTGAAACCTTTGAGGCTTTCAGTGCTTTTTTGACCCAGTTGTGTTTTTCACTTGAATATTTGAGAACACATGTACCTGGTTACAGCCATAGTTTTCATAGACACTCAGCTTACAAAGTCATATCAAGAGCAGTTGTAATATGAAGCACCTTGCTGAGTTATGGTAAATCTTGATGTTTGATGAATATTTGTTTTATTTTTTTTGCAGAGGAAACCAGCGTTTGTCAACGTCCTGGATCCTTTCTTCGAAGCTTCGAAAATTTTAGGGGTAAATAGTGTCCAAGTTTAAGTGCAGCGCGATGAGCAATGGTGACCAGGTCCAGCTTCTTTGGCCTACAGAGGAGCCGTCGCATTGCCCCTGATACCTCATGTCATGAAATCCGGAACATCATTGAAGTGCGCAAGGGGAGATGGCTGCATGTTCAACATGTTGTGCCTGAGCCCAGAAAACACGCCAAGCTGTGCTTCGCCAGAGGTACAGACCTTCATGGACTTGGGAAATATGCGGAAGAGTTGGGGTATGTGAACAATGCCAATGCTGACGGGGTGAATGGAGAGGTAGAGGCAGATGGTCTGGTATCCCAACCAAGCAGTGTTGAACACCATGCTTCAACCCAGCCCCAGACCAAACTGACCAATAGGCAAAGTTCCCTGCTCAGTCGTAGCCTGGAGTGGTTTGCACGGGACAGTACTGACAGTATCCTCAGTGGCTCCACGGTCACCTGTTCTCATCTGGACAATGTGAGCCAGGGTTCACTTCACTCCGTCATGGAGGACGGCAACACAGCGATTTTCTTCATCCATGGTGTGGGAGGCTGCTCAGACCTTTGGCGTCACCAGATAGCGTACTTTGTCAGTCAGGGGTATGAGGTCATTGCCCCTGACCTGCTGGGTCACGGCTTCAGCAGGGCACCACATCAGTCCAAGGCGTATGCCTTCAGTGAGCATGCGGATGACATAATGACCATATTTGACCGCTTCTGCAAAAAGAGAAATGTTCTTGTTGGTCATTCCTATGGGTGAGTGTCAAATTGCAAAGACAGATTGCTTCTATTTTAAGCAAAATGTTCTACGATGCTTACAAAACATCTTGTTGCAGTGGGGTTGGTGGGAAGTGTTTGGAATTAATTGAAATATAACTAGTATTCTGTAATTGTAAAATTTACACCAATTGGCCTTTATACTCTGGCTTTCCGCTGGCAAATTTTAAATTACAGCCAGACTTCAAGACCTTCAAGACTTCAAGCCAGACCCAATGTATATATATTAATATATACGTTGGGTAAGGGCAAAACCTGTTATATAAATTAACATTTCCCCAACGCAGAAAGTACATCTTGAAAAAAGACTTCAAGTTGACTTCAAGCAAATATCATGAATATTGGCCCTTCAGGGATAATAGTGATTGACTGTTGTACATGTACCGATACATGTCTGTCTTTTAAGCCTATCCTCTCTAGATTCATCAAATCCTACTATGTACACTGGTGTGGATTTGGGACACAATTGCATTGTTGATTGGCAGTTTACTCTTGGTTTTAGACAGCATGAAGTGCCCAACAAAATGTGCCTTTCTTGTGAGCGAATAATTTGTCCTTGGAATCCAGTGAGCCTCTTTGCTCTTTCAAAAAAGCAAAGTCATGTGATATCAAAGGTTTTTACATGTAGCGTCAGTTTCATCCTGTTCAGCATTTGTTGAAAGGCTTATGTTGGCCTGATTTCTCTACAACATGCTTTGCTTGATCATGTATTGTTGAAATACCCAACTTAGTCATTTTGCCTCGTCCATTTTACAGTCCTCTTCCATGTGAATCTCTCTCATCTCCTCCCTCTGTTCTTTAGGGCCTGTTTCTGTGCCAAGATTGCCCGTGAGCGAGCCAGGAAGGTGACCAAGGTGGTGCTCATCAGCGGTGGGGGGCCGGTCCCCCTTGAACCGGAGCCCTGTCAGCTGTTCTGCCTACCCAGCTTTGTGCTGGCTTGCATCAAGCCTATCATAATCAGAGGCTTTGTCAGGTATGGGATCATTTTCCTTGGTCATTGCATGTGGGTCGATGAGCCCACATTAGATGATTTTTACAAAATATTTCTGGCAACGGTAATCTCCTTCCAATCTTTCGTTTTGTAGTCGAGTGCTTTTCCAGTAGCAATTCTGCGTCAAATACAGTTGAACGCGGTTAATACCAGCTCGAAGGGACTCCCCCTAAAACCTTGTTTTATGGTGAACCTCGTGTTGACACTTATCCTATTCATAGAGCGCAAGCCTGGCGTCATGGTCCAGCAAGCATTGTTATAAACTATGGCAGTGTACTGTATGGTACAGTTTATGAAGTGGATTAGTACTCGATGTTCATGTACCAGCCTTTCATTTTTTAATAAATTTTAAATTGTATTTATCAATATGATTCGAATGAATGAGACAAAAGTTTGAATACGCCTACTTGTTTGAAGCGACAGCAGAGAACAGTGGTGTAAGTGGCCGGACGCGCGGCGTGGTGAAGCATGACCTGGAAACTGGTACCCGATGTAAAGGTTTAATAAACTTGAGAACCAGGTCATGTGTGAAGGACAGACATAAGAGGGTACTGAAGTTGGGGAATTTCCGTTTTTAATTTGCGGGAATTTTGTAGAAATGTTCTTTTAATTATGGAACAGTTACTTTCATTTTCAATGTGTGACAGGGTTGTGCAAGTTTATTTTGGAAAGGGAATGTGGGACATCGGTTCACGGAAGGAAGGGAACTTTAGAAGGGTGTAATTTCCAAAACCTATTTCAGTTTTCTTTCCATTGACCGTGTGGGGTCTTTGATGAGAATTGTTTGTGCGTTTGTTTTCCTCTGCATCAAAACTTGGGTCCTATTTATGATTTTCGAGTCGGGTTCATCCATTGTTTGGTTTAAATAACAAAAAACCACCTCTTTCAGTTCAGACCCGCTGTAATTGACACTCCTTTGATGCTGCGACATCGTAACACCATTGTCATCTTGTATAAAGCCCCCTTTAGCGGCACAAGGAACAGAGTCGCCAAGTCATCTATGGTAAAACCGCAGCGCAAAATTGCCGAGTGGATTAGCATTATTAGAGACGACTGACGCGCTCCATCGGGATTTACTGGGATTAAGCTTTTGAGGACACTTTTTCAATTGTACTCATAAAAGTGTCATGGACAATAGTTTTTGACACTGCAACTGCGGGTTAGACAAAAGTGCTCGTCTTGTCCGTGTTCTCGTCTAAGAACACCTCGTATTAAGTAAGTTTTTCTCTCATAGGAATGTGTACATTTTGAATGGGACTGAAGAAATATGCTCATGTAAGCGCGATCTCGTCTCAAGCGTGCTCGTGTTGATCGTGTTCGACTGTATTGAACTAGTTAGGAAAGCCAGAGAATATTGACACTGCAGTGTAAATGCACAACAGAACCAATAAAATCCCAAATTAAAATGATTTTCAAATCATCACTGTTTAATGAAAAGTTAAGTTTTAATCTCAAAAGTGTTCCAAAAATACTCAGCTAAGTACTTTCTGGTCTGAAGTTCTAGAGTTATTTTGTAATCTCACCTTTGTACATTTACCGTCAATGTCCATTCTTTAGCTTTGGTCTCACCTTGCCAGCTCAATATTTGGCAGTGAACTGACAACAACATTGCCAATCTCTGGCGTGATCAACATTCTGTACTGGGCTGTGTGGATAGTTTGTGAAAAAATGGGAAAGTCTCAAATTTCACTTACTTGTATCTGGCCATCCGACAGCGTATTTAGCACCAGTTGCAGGTTGAAGTGATAATTAAGAAGGCAATGAAGAAATGTTCAGTTTTAAAGGTGGGCGGAAAACCCTGGATAAACATTCCAGGAAACCCATGGAACCAGGCAGGGACCGAAACCCCAACCAACATGCTGACATAGGTGGGATTGGGGCCCGGGTTGCAAGGGTTGGAGGTGAGGAAAGAGTCACTGCACCAACCTGACTCCCCTTGACTCAAGGGAAGTCAGAGAGTGTAAATAACGACAGCGAACATGCAGCCACGAAAGTGCACAATGCAAAACACTGAAAACAAAAACTGAAAACTGCAGTGAAAGTAGTTTCATAGACTGTTACTGATTGGTCAATGAAAAATTGCATTGTGAGAGCCGATCTCTGATTGATCCAGAGATTTGTTTACTGCAGGCGTGAGCTTGCTGCATGTAACAGCTAGATAGTAGGGTAATACTCGACAGGTAGGCCTTTCCTACAATGAAGAGACAATGTCGTTTGTTAGTTTAGTTGGATTCGTATTATGGCATGTATGGGAACAAAAATTTGTCCCCCAAACCCTTTTAGTCTATATGTCGACACTTGTGTAGTCCCCATAACCTGGCAACAAGAATGTGTGCGAGTGTGGTGTGTGTATCACTATTAGAAAGTAAGGCTGTTGTTTTTTGGCCCCAAACTGGTGTTCACAATCTACGAACAGTTTCCATATCATTAGGGAACATTGTGTAAAGAGGAAGATTATATATAACTGGTTTGCCCTTACCCATCGTATATTAATAAGCACTGTATGCTCAGTGCTTGTCCAAGATCTTGCGAAAGAGGAAGATGTTATTTCTTTGCAACAAAATATTCAGAATCCAAAAATTGTGGGTGTCAAAATAAACAACACACCTACCATTTGGCGGGATCCTAAGGGTGCAGAGTGTGGCTGACTATTCCTCGAGCACTCGGGGAAGACATCTTGGGAATGTAAGTTACCATACTCTCGATCCGCATCTTCACCGGTTAGATTGATTAGTGCTTTAAAACAACATTACACTTTAAACATCCTTGAACACTGATCAAAAGTTTTAGTTTCACTGATGTAGTTAATTCATTGCATCACTTTTCCGACAGCCAAGCCTTCCACAAAAACAGCAAGCAGACCCAAGAGGAGAAGAATCGCTCCTTTGACATTCCCGCCTATGTGCTGCGCGCCACCATGCAGGGCCAGAGCTGGCGTGAGGGCGACGAGGAGTACCATGCTGCCCTCGGTGCCAGCACACTGCTCATCTACGGGATGCAAGACGAGCTGGTTCTACTGGACGACGAGAAGTGGATGAATGAAGTAAGTCGAGATGCCTTTTTATTTACGTGCCCCATTTATGTGCCGTCGTCGCTCAGTAGGAGCGATTGACAGTGGAGCATCTCATTAGATCACAAAGTGTTTGCCCAGGAGAGGTTGAGCGTCAACTTGGTGGTCAGCATCTTGCACATATCAACCTGCAGTTTATGTTTCATTGTTTTGTCTTATTCCCACAAAATCACAAATTCATGCACAAGCTCTTCAAACAGAATGTGCAATGTAAATTGTGCAAGTTTGAAAACTGTAAAGTAAGCACGTGCACAAACATCTTAGTTTAGTTTAGTTTATTTATTTCCATATCTTAAATGAAGTATTCGCATGAATTTAATATCAAAATAACAGAAATGACATGAAGATTCCAGGTAGGAAGCAAATGCTTGTACAAGATCCGGAACCCGTTTGTAATTATTTAAATAATGGGCTATTTTGTAATACAAGATCAGAAACAGAATAAATTATCCATGTATGCATCAATCCTGTTCCATTTTAACTCAATAAATGTCTGTGATAACTATAAGGGATGGAGTAAACTACATCTCTCAACTTTTTTGCCACAATGTCTTACAAAAGTCACCTCACCATGGTACAACGGGTTACTAATCAGCAGTATTAAAGGCTCTACACATGCGAGCCTAATGGGTGCATGCATGTTTTGTTATCTTTACTAGCTACTGGTTACAGTCACCAGTCATCCTATTGTTTTGCTTCATGCACTTATGCATAAAATTCCAACACTGTGACTGATTGACTTAAGAAAAATGACAGCCTCCATTGAATACCTCTTACGTCTGGCAAATTCTGCTTCAGATCACTTCCAAACGACAAATACATGTTCAGAGATTTATCTTTCTGCACAGGATAAGTTTCTTGAACAGCAAGTGAAAATAAACAATTTATGACACATTTTACATTGACATGTTGTAGGCAAGATAACTGGATCACATACCAATTGTAGTCGAGTGAGTTGCATGTGACGTTACAAGACCACACAAACTGTTGACCTATCTGGCAAGATAACCATGTCCATTTTATTGCAGAATCTCTCCTGTGACAAGAGTCTTTATGGTGTTCTTTTTTTTCTGTTACAGACAATCTACGCATCTCAACTTGAGACCCTTGAAAACGCCAGCCACATGGTCATGCTAGAACAGCCCGACACGGTCAACCGACTCATCCACACTTTCATCCTGAAGGACACCATGGTGCACCACCGTGCAAGACCCAAAAGGTCAATGTCCTCCCGGTCAACTAGGATGGGTGCCCATGGTAAGACCATGCCACATGTCACCATCACATGACAGTGGCATGCCACATGACTGCCATATGAACGTAGATGACTGCAGCATTTCTACTGGCACCCTGTTACACATGTAAAGACATTCAGATCTTTATTCAATTTACGCAAATCTGCAATACAGCTTGCTCGTTTTCTAAACTACATTCTATCAGGGAAGTGGTCAGTATTCAGGATAATGTAGGCTTGTGCATACACCTGGACTTGGACACGTAGAGTGTGTTCGCACGGTTACTCTTGTTAACACGAGTAGCTTGCTCAAACACACCCTGAAATATCAGCGTAAAAGACTGTGTGTAATAATGTTCTGCAGTATTGAATGCAAGACTGTATAAACCGGTACTTCTGCAACTGATTGGTTTGAAATATATCCTGCCGGTATGTATCTGATGGATACATAATGGGCAAGATACTGTAGATGCGGGGCTGATGGTCGGAGTGTGTAACTTTCAATCACAAGATCAGGGTCAAATCTAGATCCAAATGCAGTGGGGTATGTGTTGTGACCTTGCGCAGGTCACGTCACCTTGCGCAGGTCACGTCACCTTAATACTTGCTTCTCACCACCCAGATGCGTAAATGGGTACCTGTGAGGGCAGAAAGGATTGTCTGGTTGATTAACCTGCCTTAAATGGTTTTACCAATGGTCATATACTTCCCAGGGAGTTTATAGTACTGTTTCTTTGCCAAGCGAGCAGGGAGAGTATTCCAAAGCACATTTAGAGTCAGCCAAGAATGGGAATGTGCTATCTAAGTTTGTCATATTCATCCAACACAAAAGCAAAATGGCTAAGGAATGTTTCATAGGTGTGACGAACAGGGGTAGTAACTTGGATCCTTCTTTAGAAGTGTGGCACAAATACCGGGTGCCCATTAATTTTAATGGTCAAGCTTCGGTACGTTGGCTTGTTTAATACCCTTGAACAGTCCACTACCGTGCATTAGTAGATGGGTACTGTGTAAAAGGTCATGCAGGACCAGGTTTTTTGTTCCCACAGAAAACTGCGTGCCCAGTGTCTACAAACTACCGGTAAGTCTCTCAGGGGTTTGGAGTAAAGTGTAATGTGACCATTACTCCATTCTGCAGACTGTAAAGTGGTGTACACGCATCTCAAATGTGATTCTAAATCCACACAACATTGCTTATACGCGCTTCATAATTCAAGGATTCACTGTTACGGGTAATGTCGTGATGTAGGGTTTAACCCTCCTATGCTGAAGTCACTCTTTGGGTCATTTGGGGAACACCTCAAAGAAGCACCGCTGTGTGGTGTTGTGCACTGCACCAACAGTCCCTCACAGGAATATCAGATTGCACTTTTGTGCTGCCCAACNGCTCACCAGTGACGTGGGCATTTGTGCACCTTTGTGCTGTAAAACCAAAGGAGGGTTAATGTAGAAAACAGTCTGCCTCAAGTGGCAAAGAAAGAGATGGGCTAGCGGGAAGTTTTTAAACCAGTTGGCATGCAATCAGTGCACACGCAAAGATTGCATATATATTCAAATAGATACTGATTGCATACTCAGCTCATTCCGTGCCAAGCCTGCATCAATCTGTGCTGCTGCTCTAGAAAAGCACACCCTCTCTTGTTCCCGCTCGGAGTGGATAGGAGATCACACTGCTGAATGTGAAGCAGTAAATGCACTGCTCTCTTTTCATTGGTGTACGTGCATGTAGTATGAGTGAGTCCAGGCACATGATCACTGTCTACTCAGGGTACTCCCCCCTGCCCCCCCCTCCCTGAAATAGCTGGATCATTTGTTCTGGCTTTTGTTCACACTAACTTGGGCCATTTTCGAATACTCGACTTTGTCTCGGTCTCATCAGGCTTTGTCTCCGAAATCATTCCTAGACTGTAGGCCTGAAGCTTTCCAATTAAATTGAAACATAGTAAAACGTTTGCGTCTTTGTTGATGTTTCTGTCACATCACTGGATTCATTGTTGAGCTATTAAGGTGGTAAAAAAATGATGAAGCATGAAATGGAGATGAAGTCTAGTATTGGAAAATGGCCTTAAGTAGTCCTGGTGTTTTTCTGGGCTGCCGGAGCGTGCAACTGTTACTCACTTAGACGCATCTAAGCAAGTAGCCAGTTGGTAATGGTGACCCACTGGTTATTTGACTTGGACCGGCCAACCGAACCCCAGCAAACTCAGTGGCAAGGTAAACCTAAGAAATTAATTTCAGTCGGCCATTCACTCACTGTCCAGTGCACATGCAGTGGTGCACCAAATCAGATGGACATCATTGCTAAAATACTCTCTGAGCACAGGCATGACCGCTCCTGTCCAGAATGGAACAAACTGACCAGTTTGTCCACTGCCTCTTGCGATCTAGAATAAGATTTTCATTTCTCCAACGCTGCCTTGGACATTGCCTTGGCACTTCAGTCAGTTTTTGTCTACTCTTAATAACAAATGCTTCAAGATAAAATTTAAGTGCAATTAGTGGGTTAAAAGTGTGAAACTGTTTGCAACGCAGAGGCGAGTTAATTAAATAGTCTCCTTGGCAACTGAATTGCTTTAAACGTTAACTGTCATCTATCAACAGAAGTGTTCTTGTGTGGGTTGTCCCATTTTATATATTGCATAAAAAGTATTTGTTTTATTTTCATACTTGCATTTCTATACATACATTTTGCATATGTGGTACTTTATACACGTAATTTACAGTATTTTTGAACACAGAGGAAATTATGTCTTTGAAATTTGAAAAGACACACCGTCAAAATCTGTAGCAATATTGTGTATAGTAATTGTTAGGATTATTTTTCCACAGGACAGGGCCTGTTATCATGTGTTATAAGCAATATTGTCAAAGACACTGCTGTCACTATTGTCAAAGAAAGATTTCTGAGTTTTGAGAGCAACCACTACATGGAAACCTTGACAGGATGTACCATAAATCTGTGAAAGCCGTCCTGGCATGCTGGGACAGTAAGTAATGAACCAAGTTGGTCATCATTGTAAAACCAGTCCGGATATAAAGAGCAAGCATATAAACTACTGGACGCTGAGAACCTTGAACAATTATGAGGTGAACCCACAGTCCAGGTGTGGTTTAACATGACCCAAGACCAAACTAGCATTTTCAATTTATGCACATCAAAGATCTCCATGGCTAAGAAACTACTCAAGGTGTGTCCTTTTTCAGAAAAGTTGAATTGTTCGGTATAATTTTGATTAGTCAGGTTTTGCACAAGAAAGTGCATCAGATACTTGGTGTAATAAGTTTGATTTTCACATTTAATGTTTCATTAGTTTGGATTGTGCTACACCGATGAGTTATTCAGTTTGTGGTACATTTCATTCTCAGTGGAAATGGTGTACACACACAATTTCTTTTGTAAATTTTGAATATTTATACAAAAAAGAGAGAAATTTTGATTGTACTTTTAAACTGTGGATTTTTATTTGGATCCTTTTTATGGGTGAGTGTTGAAAATGATTGTGAAGACAAGTTTGGCAGCCTGTAATCACGTGAGCAAAATTACAAGGTACTCTCCTAATCTTAAATAATGGTGAAAGAATTATATTTTCCCAAAAGATTTGTAAAACTGTGCATGCTTGTCAATGATAAATTTATAGAAATATTTCAGGTTTCTATTAAAGTGTTGAGTATATCTGGTCAGTAAATTACATGTATATAGTTGATGATTTATGACAGTTTTTAGTATGTAAGAACATGATTGTTAAATGAACATCATAGTTGATGAAGCCTATTCTATTAAAAGCCCACCCTAAGAACCTCTAGTATCATGGCAAGTGTTCAGTTCAGCTTCTTCTCTTCCAATTATTTCATGGTATATTTTTTGTACTCGTATTAAATAGAACAACTATGAAATGGTGGTACGTTTCAGATTTGAACCATCTCCCCCCCTGTGCATTCCTCATATATGCTGAGAAAGTTGTAAATGTTTATTTATTCTGCTCAGTTTGTTTACAGTGTATTATTTTATGACTTAATCACTTTATAAATAAGGTAAGAGTTCCCTGCAGAGTAAGCCAAGTGCTTGTAGTACCCTGAAGTCATATTGGAACTGGGTGCCCAACCATAAGTTCAGGAACCAGGTCGAATGTATAAGACCCGAGGTACACATTACACAACTTAACAAATTTACTTCGAAACTTTTCAGACTTTGATGACTTAAGGAGTGGTTTTGAAAGGTTTTGGTTGTGTCCTTTTTAAATGAAAACCAGGCTAAGTGGAATGCTGAATCAAACTTCATTTTTTGTGCAAGGCTGTTTGAATATTTGGATGAGTGTTTTGGGCAAGAGCAGACAACTGACAATTTGAATGCATCTGTCCTCTATGCTTCAGGGTTTCGGGGTACCTGACTCCAACACTACCTGTACTATACCCAGCAAGAAATGAGACCGAGGGGGTACCCCCCAACATGCCCAATCCCTATACACATTCCAGACGATTGTTACTTAACANTCTCATACCTTGCTGCATATGACCTGTACATGTACAAACACTGTAGAATGTACTGTGCCTATTGATGAATTTGCATTCACAAAGGTTTAGAAGTGTTTTAGAAGATGGAGATCTTAGCCCTATGTCCTTTTCTTCCAATTCAGACCAGAAGTTTACTTGCCATGTATGTCTTTCTGAGTGTGTGCATCTATTATGTCATAGATATCTGTAGAGTTACAATCTTTATATTTCAATTACTCTGAGGTGGTTTTTCTCCTGATAGATTAGCAAACTGCAATGTATATTTTCTTAAAATGTTTTCTTACTTTATGACGAAGTGTTCTTTATTGTGTTATGTGATAGTGATACATTAAAGAAATATGACACCAGAAGTTGTAGAACAGTTCGTGTGTTGTGTTTGGTGGGGGCAAAGATTTCTTGACATTATAGATGATTGGGTTGGTGCCAGTTTTGATGAGAGTGAAATCGGCTCGATGGCATAATCTCTATTATATACATGTATTTAAATATGAATTGGAAGAAATTGGTTTTTTCAAAACCATTCAAGATGATTAGTTTAATATGCCATTATTTTTCTATAATGTTACTTGTTTATACCTCAAATTTTTGGCATTTTCAAGGTGTGAATTATGAATATTATGAATTAGACCAAAAATTAATCAAATCTGTTCCAAGCCATATTTAGCTCGTGAATGAAAGGATTGAGAATGTGCCCCCCCCCCATGGGATGCCAGTCACCCCAGCTAATGCTGGTCTCCATTTTACTCCTGGGTGGTTAAAGTGGCTTACCTAAGGCCACAACTTACGGTCAGTTGCTTGATTCGAACCCCTAAACGTTATCACCAGGATCACAAACCTGAACCACTCGGCTTGCAGTTGCACCGTTTTTATAAATAAAATTTCATTGGCTCTAAAAAGATTTTTTTTTTAATTTGCTGTTGAGAAAGATTCTGCTCAAATCGAAGCATCATGCTTCAAACTTTTTAGTCTCGAAAAGTCTCGAACAGGCAGTTTTTTTTTCATTGAACATTGGTTCGTGAAATTTAATATCACGCCCTCCAATTTAAAGTTTCAAGGCTGGGGTAGATTGAGTAGCGGCCAGACTGTACGCTTTAATAATAGTTTTCACGATTCCACTGACTGGAGTAATGGTGGAAGTGACGCACTCACACGCACATCAAAGCCGAGGGCGCAGTCTAGTCAAGTCAGTTACTAGTATAGTAATGCAGACCGACTTGAAATGTCAGTGAAGGCGCGGAACACTATTTATTCGGTTAAAGCAGCAGGGTGTCGACATTTTTCCTATTTGTTGTGCAACCAGGGAGGCTGCTTTAGGAAACAGACTCACATGTTTACTTATTGTGTATCAGACGGAAAGAAATATTCGGAAATAGAGACATTTTCTTTTCGACAAGTCAACGTCCAGACGTCAGAACGTGGGGCCACGACACGTCAAGTCGACGAAAGGCTAGGACTAAGTACACATGTACGAGGACCACGGACCATTTATTTACACACAGAGTAGTAGACCTAGGAGCCTGGCGATTGTCCGACTCAGTACAGGCTGGTCTGAAGTCTGCATATAGGGGCTATCACAAACTTAATTTGGTCGGCCGTGTTGCACATCAAGTTGTAATTATTTGGTAATTCAGTATCACCCGTCGACCTCTGAATTAAATCATGGTAAGTGTATTGACCATGTTAACAGTCACCATGAATCATATGAATTTGGTGCTGATCAGCATGGCGGTTGTGTGATTTTTTGGAGCTTTTTATGCACTCAAGCTTGCAAGGCAGTTGCAAGTTGGGTTGCTAAGGCAGTTGGCCATGAACTAATGTCTGGTATGACTGTATTTTATAGGTTAGTCACCAGCTCCCTAATTTGACCACCTATTGTCAAATCTGATTGGTTTTCACAGTAAGTGGTAAAATAAGGGATCTGGCAACTATCATAAGGTCACGGACATTAGGCCTAGTCAGTACATCATGTGATCATGACATGGTCATGCGTGTAGCGTACATGTATGTAAGTGATGTGTATTTGCCATGAACCAGCTTTTTCCAGTCTTTGGGCTGGCATTACTTCATACATGTCATATGGCATCGGGCTCAAGAATATGCAACACAGTCATGACAAATTTGTTTATTAAATGCCAAAATCCCCTATCACTGTAAGCTGCAGGTGGTGAGGTTGAGTGGTTAAAATGTTGGGGATTGTATACTTGGGGACCCCCCCCCATTTTTTTGTTATTTTAATCTGGCTAAACTGGAAAGTCCCCCAAAAACAAAGGCAACAGTGTCTTTATTGCACTGACCCTATTTTTGGAAATTTTAAATTGTAAATTGTAAGAAAATGTTACTTTCTTACTGATTAACCAGCCATGCAAATTTGAATCCACCATGTGTTAAAAACGCTCACAGTTTTTCCTCATAATTTCCCTCAAAACTCAAAACCCTGCCTTTTTTTGACAACATCAATCTTACAGTTATTGACCACGATGTCACAGGTCATCTTCCAAGGTGAACTCAAAAGCTAAAATGTAGCTCTCCCCTCTATTATAGGAACAGGGTCCCCAAATTCACTGTCCCCAACATGTGCTACATCACCTGCTGATCATGATATCTGGGCTCTTGATTTTAGTACTGCAGATGTTTGGCTTGAAAAATGTTTCTCCCTGACCAAAAGTCCGAACAATATCACTTTTTTGGTTTCAATTCACGTATTCTACATCAAGGCCTACATGTACTTGTGGGATATTTTATTTTCCATTTCCTGATTTATTGCCCTGAAGGATTTATCTCAGTGGGAATATACGTGTAGCCCAAACATACTGAAACCGTTTTCTGTCCCGCAAATAATGTTGCAACAATGGAAGCATGGAACCAAACTAAAGTTTATTATGGTAAAATGTTGAAGTTTCAAACACTACTCATTTGCTTGTGCCTGTAAAGAAGGCAACAAGCAAAAGCATGTTAGGGACCAGTGTGTGGTCAGATGTACATATACATCCATTGCCGCTGAGGAATGACTTGCGTTGATTCACAGTTCGCACCAAAGGTTTTGAGTCAATTCTGACCCCGATCAACTCATCATGCTCACAGTCAGAGCAAGAGTAACTCAGACCTAAAGCAACTGTGGAAAACGTTCTGCATCTGGCCTCCCCGATTTTTTGAGATTCATGATGGGAAGAACATCCATATGTGAACCTCTTCCCCGCAGTGACATATCAGCCCTCAGAAAATGACAACACTTCCTAAAATGTCAAAATTAGCAGGGAAAATGTTGAATAGCTTAGAAAGCACTTAAGAATATTTCGGACCTGTCCAGTGGGAGCATGCACAGGGTGTCATGTGATTCCAGTAACCGAACTCTTCATATATTGATGATACATACTCGAAACTCGCGGAGGCCGGATGCAGAACTCTTTGCATTCTGCGTACACACACTTTAATGGTTCTGTTTTATTACTGTTTACAGAGTGTGAGTGAAATGCTACGAGGCTTACCAAGCCACAACGAAAACAACTTCAGTCGCTTCCACAGTGAAGGCAGTCGGAGTACGGTGAGTTGCCAGGTACCGTACATGTAGCAATTGTGGGCTGGTACGTGCATGTACATGCGGGGCTTGCACATTCCGCTCTTAATCCTGCTTTAACTCCTTGGGCATTTTTCTGTTACTGCCGTGTGTAGGAACCTCCCCGTAATTCTCCCGAATCCTCAACTGCGCTGGAAGCCAGTGGCATTTTCGTCTAGGAAATTAACCCTCATTCCCTAGGCTATTACTGCTATCAGTATAATGTATTTGCAATTCTGCAAAACCCTTGAACTATCCATGTAAATATTGGATGTAGCCTCTATCCTCCATAATCCTCATTTATTTTTTTGAAATTTTTTTAATTTTCATGGAGGGTAACCATTCCTCAGTCCTTGGAAATCTTCCAGCAATTGTTGTCAATATATATTGAGGCAGCGTGCATGATATCCTGGAGCAGGGGGATGATTTCCAGTACAATTTTTTATGTACAAATTACAATGGTACAAATTTATGCAGCTGTGGTTGAGCACTGACAACAGACACATCATATATGTAAGGTCTGTCCCCAGACTTCAACCCAGTGCATCTTTTGAAATCAGTTACAAGTTTTTCCTTGCAGCTCAGCCTCAATCCTTCAAAGCCCTCCTCTGCTAGGAGGATTTGGGAAGGTTAGGGCTAATTTACAAGGGGTATCAAGCCCTCGATGGCTGCAATCTCTGCCTTTCTGAGCCCTGGAAATTCTCCCAAAAAACTCCTTGGTGGACCTTGGCCCTAACCCTCCGGGGTATTTTGGCTAGACACCTTTCTTGACCCACGTCTCTTTATTATGTGTCAGATTGGGTTGCCTGCCCAGGGCAACAGGAACCAGCAGATCAGTATCCCCAAGGCCACACGGCCTGTGAGTCGGAGCTTCCCAGCCACAAAATCTGGCTTTGCCTTGTGTTGGCGTTGTTCACTGTGACTAGTTCCCCGTCTTAGCATGGGCAGTTTCTTTTGATTGTCCAGCGCAACAAATTGCACCAGGCTGTTATTTTAGCTGTACTTTATTGGTCAGGCTTTGTTCTTGAGGCTTCACCTTGAGAACATAGCAAAGTCTTCCCTAGCCTCCTGGGGAAGGCTGAAAGATCGAGGGAGGCTTGGGAGAATTCTTCCCCAAAGAACTAATAAAAGATGAATTGTCAGGGCCTTTAAGAGCCATATTAGCGGTTATGGCTGTAGGGTACCAAAGTGAATATGTCACCTGCACAATTGTGTGTGTAAAAGGCATTAGTGCGAGAACCAGCGCGTGAACCAACACGAGTGTGTACTCCATTCGTTTGTACGGCTGGTTCAAAATGACCTCACACTCCTGTGTTCTATGTACGTTTGAATACTTACCATTGCATGTGGTGAGGTTGTCAGTTTACAGTGTGTAGAGTCATTCAACAGTGTCCATACATGCATTAGTGCCACCTTGTTTGATTCTTGCTGTGTGACCTGTCAGCCTACCTTGAAGCATGCTTCTTTACCAGCAGAGAAGAGACAGGTACAGTAGACTGGAACTATTTCATCTAGGTGCCTGACTCACTTACAGAGGCTGTGCACCATTTACCATGTATAAACTGCATGTAAATGCGCAGGAGCTTGCGCAAGCATGCGGTGAGTCCCCACCAAAGGACCATCGATTAAGCACGCCCTCCCTTATTCCCACACGGAGCGGGTACATGTAGCATCTCCAGTTTCCCAGACATGCCAGAGACAAAGACTAACTACCCAAAATTTGTCGGTGTAAGAAAACTGGAGAACTTGTTCATATCCGTGATCTTTGTTGTTTTTTTCTTTATTCTACCCAGAGTAAGAAGCCAGCTGTGTATCTTCCAACAAAAGATTTCCCCTCAGAACAAGGTAAGCAGTTCTAGGTTTTCTACAACCAAATTTAAATACCATGCATTGCTCATAGGGTTGATTACTCTGCCATGACGGAATTTATCCTTCTTGTGTCACTTGTTCTCGCCAGAAGTCACCTTGCTATTCCACCCACAAAAGAGATGTTATTTTTATTACACAGTTTAACATGGAAGTCTTATTTTGGGCGAGATTTTCACTTTTATTGAGACCTATCGTTTTCACAACAATTATGCCAATATTTAACTATAAATAAAACATCAGTGTAATGAAAACAGACTTGCTTGAACTGTTCAGTGTTCATCTGCCAGGTTTGGTTTGCTTTTCCCGTGTAGAAAGTTGACATCTTTCTTCTTTTGTAACGGATATTGGTGGTGTCAACAATTCAAATATTTCAAGTCCAGTCACAGGTCATGCATAACAAGACACTTTTGTCAATTGTTTTGAGGACCCGTTGCATGCCCTGTGAGTTCGCAATAAGCATAATTGTTTATTCCAATGTTGATGTCAGCAGATCTTTCAAAACTTGCATACTGACATATTCTGAAAGGAACATGTGGACACGCTGTAGAGGATCAGTATTCACATACTTGTACAAGAGGGAATATTTCTAGAATTCCTGCATACCCATTATTCATCATGGATTATTAAATACAGGAATACATCTTACACCCCTTAAATCCTCCCTTTTTTCCCTCTGGAGACCCCCGGTGCCTTCCTCTGCCATCTCTGAAGTGTGCTGCATTCCCATGACGCGCATTGGAAAAAAATAGTTTCATGCACACGTACACGTTCGGTGTATGCATACGGAGGGATCACCTCAGATGACCTGTAGATCTAATGCTGTACTGGAATGTGCACACCCATACAGTATACATGTACATGTACATTGTACATTTATGACACTGTTCATGCATGTCTTTATGTTTATGTACATACAGTATGCCAGTCTTTCCATGGCTTTTCTTTGCATAGTTGTTCACTACACAGTAGGCGCGAGTCCCCTCTGCATGCATCAGGCATGCAACTTTTTCCTCGGATCAGCTGATTTCCTCATTTTTCACTTCACATTTGTGCCATTGAAAAAATTTTAAAAAAACCTGTGCGAAGGCTTGTAAAGATTGGAATTTCCTTGTTTCTTGTCAGAGCCAAAGTTGCATGCCTTGATGCATACAAACATGTATGTGCATGTATGTACATACCAACCCTTACAAAGCACACATACATGTATATATACAAGAAGTATCAATGTTTGGTGGCAGAATTAACCAAATGTCCCATTCCTTCAGAGCAGATGTTGATGCCAGCACACTGCACGTACCGATTGCCCAAAAGTGGGCAAACCTGTATGTTGACGCGTAAGGGTGTATCAATGTCAATTTTTTCTTGACACACGGTATGGTGTACGCGTCATCACAATAAGGTCATGATACCATAGTTGCATGTACATCATAAAATTAAAGGATCCGGGCAAGGAATTTTTCTTTGGCAAGCTTTCCCTGCTGTTGTTATGCATGTACATGTATTCATCTGCAGTCACTGAGAAAGTACATGTATGACATGCCTTCGGTCAGGTGTATTGAGGATATGGGTGTACATAGGTTTTTAAACACTTCAAATTATCCATGCTTTTCCAGACAACTGAGGGCGCTGTTGCTCTGATGTGATTCAGGGAAAATATGTGTAGTTAAATGTTTTCTGTTCAAATCCACCCTGAGCTGAAGTGCACCCCCTGTTGGTGAAAAAAAAGACAGGTGGTTACAAGCGGGCTCTTGCACGCGTTCTGTGTGTACGCAAAGACCATACATGTTGGAGTAAATTAGTTACGCGTACATAGCGTGCTCCGCGTCAAACGTGCATATACTTGCACGCCTCATGGCAGGCCTATACGATGAGTACCAAAACAAACACGCCCTCTTTTGTTCCGCTCGGAGCGGATTGTGAGCCCAACATCTGCTCATTGAAAGCATTTCTGAGAAAGGGTGGGCCATCAGCTTGTTACACGTACAGTGTTCGTAATACTGGTACACAAAGTGAATCACACAGGAGAAAGAAATTGAGGATGATGGAAAACAAAAAATGGAAAAATTCCTGAAGTGCTCTGGCACGACATCCGTGCAACGTTGCACCTTTCATGGCGGGAATGACACAGTTTTGCTCATGAGTTTGGAAATATTCACCAGCACGCAGTAACCCAAAAGGCACCAACATTTAAACCTTAAAAGTTGTAGTCTCAGGTACTGTTCAGCTTTGCATTGGTTGCTCGTGTACACAGGTTGTGAATATGATTATATTATGAGTGGTGTTCTTTACTTTTCCGGTAATTGCAACTCTGTGAGACTGGTACATTCTGTCTCGGCTTGCATTCAGGAAAGCACATTTTGAACGGATAAATGCTCTCTCCACAATTTCACAAAGATTCATATGTACCGGTTCCCGTTTTTAACTTACACTTCTCCTGGTCTGAAGTGGTCTGTCCTTTGTCTGATGCATACCGGTATTTACTCCTGCCCAAGTACTCACAAAACAGCTTCTTTGTGACGAGGCTACGTCACAGTATTCTGATTTAACTGCTATTGATACAGTGATGAATTGCTGCATCCATATTCACCTGCTTCCAGTTCAGTATATGTTTTCAAAGTCAACATTAAATTGTACACAGTTACCCATGTACGCGTACACGTACATGTATGTCTATGTACTGTAGCTACATACTTGTAATTGCGTTTATTGGTAATTCCAGAAATTAGGGGTCCATTTTTGTTGTGTCCCTGTCACATCTGACATTTTATTTTGTACGTTCAGAACACATTTTCTAATTTCCAGGAGTGATGAATTAATGCAAATTACTTGCCAAACAAATGGTAATAGCTTGAAATCAGTTCCGGTGATATTTCTACGTCAAATAACAAATGTCAGGTGTAACAGGGACACAAAAAGGTCACACTTTTGGACCACTAATTTCTGGAATTATCCTTATGCATTTACAGGATGATTTATATTATGTACAGTACATGTATGGCCAGTCTTGTACATGCTTATGAGAGGGTGTACTGTTTGCACAGAGCATATACCCATGTACATGTACATGTTGTGATAATGGTGTACATATTTGTGTGGCATGATAAATTCAGAATTCAATTCCAAAATCTCTTTGATATTGAATTGCATGCGCACGGGCTTGCATGCATCTGAAGTGACAATATGCCACAAGAAGTGCCTGCACGGTGCATTGCACCCTGTGTCTGTGTAGAGGGTAACCTTATAACTCTATTTACCTGTTCCAGTCATTACGACGGAGAAGACGAACATTCTGCTGAGATATCTCCACCAACAATGGGACAAAAAGGTAACTCGATCTGTCCTCTTTAGGAACTCAACTTGAGTAGTCTGACACATTTCATTTCAATTTTGGCCGATAAATGCCACTTGGGACACTTTTTCAGTTTTTTCATTTCACAACTGCAAAATAAAGTCCCCAAGGAAGTTATTTGTAAAAGTCAGTGTTTTACATGTTTCTGTATCTTTTTGTCTTCAGTCCCAATGGCCTTCCTGAATCCTATACAATCCACCAGTGTCCAGCCACCAGTCAAATGGGATATATTGCAATGTTGAGGTTTATCGAGTTCCATGTAAAGCAATAGCAGCTGCCTGTGCTTTCTCAATAACAATTGAAGGAACTGGGAAGGTCATGGGTATGAAGACTTTGTTTAATATTTTCAGGTGCCACTTTCAGTGTTACACATCCGTGAGTGGCTTTCTACAGGTGTATGTATAGCCCCCCCACCCCTGTGGCTCATTAATTCAGTGAATCATTCCTCAAAATCATCTTGCCTTCCTGAGGACTTTGTGCCTTCAGCTGCAAATGAAGTGTACTGAACTATTCAAACTCACATCCGTCATTGCAGTGCCATGTACAGTAACCCATGGTACCAATACCCAGTACATGTACATCAGAGCATGTGCGTATACACGTAGGTAGAGACTCTTTCTATCTTGCTTTAAGAGCAGCTGCTGTGATCCTCGTCCGTCTCTCAACCCTGTGTCACAGGCTGCTGAAACATCTTTGAGCTGAGCAAAAGTCAAGTGAATTTAACTGGTCACAAAATATATGCCAATACATGTAGTCAGATTGTATGGCTGATGGAGTGGCTGCCTGTTTTGCTACATGTAAGCAGGTATTTGCAGTGCTTAGTGAATTTGGCCCCAGATCTATGTCACAAGTTCCGCCTAGTCATGGACAGGGGACCTTGATCTCACAGACAGGGACGTCCTCAGAGCTTGTAACATTGCATTTGTTATTGTGCAACTTGACATCTGATTGATTTATGGCTTGGACTAAGCATACACTCTGAATGCCTTGCTTAGTGATGTAAATCTGCATATTTATGAGAAGAGGCTGCAGAGTTCAAAACAAATTGACGGTGACTGTTCTCTGACTGTGTTTTTGAGAGAAGTGCTTGGTCATGCCACCTGACATCCGTGCCAGATTGTTACTGTGTGTTCCACAGTATGGCTTAGATTATACATGTAATTCTTGTATAGGATAAGTGTATTACACCTGAAGCCTAACTACTCGAGATTTTTTGTTTTCGCCTTTAAAGCCTGCCCTGAATTACCCAGCTCTGATGCTGTGTTAGTCAATGCAGGGGGACATTTGGAATTGTAATATTGACCTTCTGGGTTAACTGTGTGCACATCTGCAGTCCTGCTTTTGTCCTACTTTTTGTCCAGCTCAAAATGAATATAAACCTAACATGGAAAGTCAAAGCAACAGTTCTTCCCACAGCAGCATAGAGACTCCCAGCCATTTCTGTTTACCTTTTACATGTACATACACATGTACATACATGTGTAAGTTCCCTGAACCATCCAAAATCATCCACTGTCAGAGCCAATCACCCTATTCTTTGTGCTGTAGAATTTTGATGGGCATCAAGCCATCAAGAAGTGATGACTTCCATTGCCTCCTCAATCCTACATAATCCTCCAGGATCCTCTGGTGGATTTGAGGGACCTAGGAAGATAAAGTCAATGAAAAAAAGTAACCCTGGGTCTCTCCCCACATTCTTGATTTTCCTCTTTGTTCACGGTTTGTTAAGGATTAAAAATACTTGTGGCTTTAGCCACTGTTACTTTCCATGGAGGGCCAATGTTTCAATTTATTTGAAATAAAATGAATTTGTCCATGGTTTGCTGCTTATTTGGGGCATTTTAGAAAACCTCTTTCCCTGATATTAGGTCAGTCATGACAGATACTGTCTAATGTGTTCACATACATTTAAACGGGCCCTGAAGAGGAGGATGAATCATATGAAGGCGCAACCTCAACCCTCGCAGGTCCTACAAGTCGTTTACAAGGTTTTGGAGGATTTTGCTGGATTAAGGAGGCAGAACCCATCCATGATCACTTAACATAGGACTTGATGCCCCTCAAATGCCTTAGTAGAAAGATGTGACCTGCCCTGTGGAACTGAGCCACAGGTTGCTGGAGCCACCTTTGAGTAACAGGCCTTCGAAACAATCTTGCTCCATGGAAATCAATAGGGACAATCAACGCTTTTCACCCACACAATGTCCTCTTCGATCAGGGTGCCAAAATGAGTGATACATCCGAACAAAGATCTGAGCCTGCTCTTTCTAATGCAAAGTGGAACTTCTGAAACAGTGGCCATGCGACTCATTTTTCCTTGAGCGGGTCACAAATGTGCCAGGGGCATCTCCTACTTGATGGAGGATTTTTGGAGGACTCAAAAAAGTTTGCAGCTAGAAGCCTAGAGGCAGTGAGGGTTAATGTGATTTCTGTCATACCTGTATGGTACTGGTACTCATTATTGGCCTAGAAACCATGACTCAGAAGGAGATTGCAAAAGCATCTGCACTGTATTCCTGTCATTCCTCATTGTTAAGTTTGGTTTGCCTTTTCAGAATAATCAAAAGAAGAGAGATACGTCCAGTGCAAACATGGAGTCGGACACCTCCCCTGCTCGGAAGATACCACGGCTAGACTCCACTTCAGGCAACTGTGGTTGAGACCTGTCTTTGTCGCATGTATTCAAATCTGTAAACAGCTCAACCTTATTTAAAAAGTGCTTCAGATGTTATTGTTTTGAAAGATTTAATTGCAAGAATGAACCACACAAGAAAGCAACCTGCATTTTGACATCCCAAGAGATCCATGTTGTGAGAATGCATGCATCTGCTATTGGTATTGTGGATTGTGCTATCAGTGTGATTTGTGTGGATGGCATTGAAGAGGAGTTAAGAGCCCTTTTCCATTATGAGGAGGACCAGGACTCATCTATCCTCTAGCTGTTTTTTCATACATCATATATCTGATTAACCCTGACCATGCTTCATACAAGACTCGTAGGCACTCATTGTAGTTACACCCATGAGAGTGAAACACTAACAGTATTCTGTCGGCATAAAACAGGTTTCCACAACAAGATATTGGCCTTCCTATGAAACAGGTTGAATGTCTAAGTCACTGGCTCGCTTCTGTCACCGGTGCCAGTTTCATGCGTGCTGTGCAACGTCACGGGTTTGATTGCATTACTACAAAAATACTTTTTTCCTCTATTCAAACACACAGCTAGCTACATTAAAATGGACTGGAACTTGTTTTTTTTTTCAATTCTATATTTCACTTTTCAGTTTAACCAGTTTCATTACCAGTTTAATTGACCGATGTCCTTTTTTTCTTTTAGCAATTTGTGTTGTTTTATGCCATTAGCAAATTTTCATATTTCGGAGAGCAACAGTGATTTCACTTTGGACAAGAGTTTTTAATGTCATAAGGGCTATAAGACCCATGATTGGAGGTAGATGCTTTATACATGCACACTGCTTTGTACGCATATTGTCCAAAATGTGCGTGATAACTTTTCATCCGAATGTGCACAACCAAATGTGGCCTACATGTAGCATGGGAATAAGGCGCTTAGCAAAGGAGTGGAGCATCGGCTGAGCTACTCTGTCACCACTGGCATTGTAGATGAGCACAGATCCACAGCTGTCTTGAACTTTTTCTGTGCTGCCCCAAAAAGGTAAACTGTGTATACTGTAAATATTCTGTATATATTAAAATAACTAGATACATGTGCAAAATGCATGTACACTTTCATGTACAATACGCTGCTACCAGTGCAAAACATAGTAATGAAAATATAATTACCGGAAATGGGTCACTTGGGAGACATTCCCATAGGAGCGTGCACAAAATTTTTTCAAACTTTACCGTCCCATAATTCAATATTCCCTTATCCGATCTTAACGAAACTTTGCCTTTCAGACCCTAATCAGACCCATCTCTCAAAATGTGGAGAGTAAAAATTTTCCTGGTTGACATTGAAATGTCTCCCTAATGACCGATGTCTCCAAATGTTGAAAAATTTACCACAAAATGTTTCCCAAGTGACCTATTTAGAAATATATAAAGCAAAGCACAAAACCAAAGTTGACGCGTGTCTGTGTTATAAGGTTGGTATTTTGCTCCAGAACAGTAAATTACAGTAAAAATGATGCTGCATATTTCCCCAATTCTTGTTGAAAGCATGTGTGTAAGTTCAACCCCATGATACAAGTTACTGGAAGATTGTATACATAGTCAATGTAATATTGTAACATTTTATGGAACTGTTATCAAATTATCAATTTCTGGTTCTGTGTTCATTTAGGCTTGTGTCAGAGAGAGAAGTGGTCATAATTCATACAAAGTCAGGAAAGGTTCTGCACGTGTCGCTGTGGTCCTAAACCATTGCATCCTGTGGCCTGATGTGACGGAGCTCACTCAGTGAAAACAATAAATTTGCTGTAAAGCCTCAAAAACGTGACAGATTTTCCTTCAGAGATCCCCCGGTATATTCAGTATTCACAAATCAGTAAGGGTCCAAGCACTTGAGCACCCCTGTACTACATGGGAGCTGGCTGCCTTAGTTTTGCCTCAGTATCAGTTGTGATTTACATGTCAACGAATGGCCCAACAGACGATCTGTATAGCCCCTACACAACATTTAGTGTCACAGGATTTTTGTCAGGTCATGGGAACTGAAACAGCTGTTGGTTTTTCTTGTGTGTTTTTTTTTTCATTAAAACAGGCCTTTACTCATTCATCCATGACTTTGCATTTTTTCCCCCACACATAATGGCCTCATCTGTGAAATTTTCTTCATGTGTAGTAATGTACATGTACCAACGTACGCTATCTTGAATTTGAGACTACATTTTCAGTTTGAGAGGTGGTCTTGCATCTGAAATTATGGTTTGGGCATGAATAAATGAATATCTTCTCTTTGTAGCGTGAGCAACGTTTGGCTATAAATGACATCAACTGTGTATTATTTGCTGGTCATTTTGACGTGTGTATATTTAATGCTGGTTGTGACAGTTACATATTTATACAGTAACCAGCTTGCATGTGGTCTATGGTAAACCAAAACATCGGAATCCAAGTCAAAACTTCAGTTTCTAAAATATGGATGATGTCATCAGGTGGGCTCATTTCATGTAAATAATGCTGCTCAGTCGCCTTGCGCCTGCATGTTACATCCCCGCTGAGGAGATGATGCAGTATCCCATCAGAAGCAGAACTAGGGAACGGCCTGTGACGATTTGCTCATTTTGGGCGAAAAAGGACCCAAGAAACTAACAGTGTTTTATTCAAGACTTAAGACCACCACAAGAATACAAGACCTGTAGACTGAATTCAAGTCACAAGCTATTCAAATGAACTGTCACAAAAGCATTCCTTTGTCATTGTTAACCCTGTCTGGTCTTGCCTTTGGTGTTGTGATGGTCTCCACTTAACACTGAAAACTAAGGATACCCCCACCCCATTCCTCTTCCCTCCCCTCCCCTTCTCCAACACAGCAAACTGTCAAACAAGACAAGGATTTGCTCACATTCTTGAAGTGTACCACATCATTGATGATCCAAATACAGGAATGGACCGCTCGGCAAATAGCCATAGAGAAGTGAGCGCATGAGTTAACTGAATGCTTTAGACACAAGCTATAAACCAGTCTTTGCTGCCAGGAACAGGTGAATTTCTTTGCCTTGTATGAAGTGTATACTGTCGGTGTGCATCATTAATTTATAACATTAATACAATAAAGCATACACTACTGTTTAATCCTTACTGGAGTGTATTTGCCTATTTTCTGTGGAGTATTTCCATGAAATCCCTAGTGTGTGGATTTAAGGAGGTTACTCTGATTTTCACAGGGAATAATGGTTCTCAGATATTGCTTGTCTGTTTCCAATGGGCATATGTGAAGTTCCTGTGGATGGGCAAAATAATTTCCCTCCCCCAGCAGCCACAGGATCGTCCCCCTGATTTTTGAGAAAAGATAGAGGCATTATGGGAAAAGGTCCACACTCAATATGGAAAAGTTTCTTGGAACATCTGAGCAGCTACGCAGACTTCTAGTGAGCTTTGTTTCTGTTGCTAGTGTTGTGTATTATGATTTCTGGTTTTGCCAGTTTTTCTTTATTCAGATATTTGTTTGCAAAACTCTAAGAAGCCCTCTTGAGTGAAACTGAACGCACTTCCAATTTTGGAGGGAAATGTCAGTGACATCGGCGCAGCTGTATACCTGTGGTCTTTAGTTTAAGCTTACTGAACTGATTGATACTGATGAGGGCGGTAAACTGGGCGAATGTACATGTGTATTGCGTCGCAAGCTTGGAGGTTTCCAAATTCTGACCTCGTCTCCAGAGTCGGCTTCGTGCGGATGGGCTATAGAGTTGTTTTTCATAAGCTCGAACTTCAAGAGCCTCAGCGGTATGAATGGCAAAGACGAAGCCGCAAACGGAACGAAGCCGAAATTTGGAAACCTCCCAGTGGAGCTAATGGTCCGTTCTTTAGGAACAGCGCCACCAAGAAAGGAGTTGCCTCGCTGTCTGCAGAGCAGCATACGGGATTGATGGGAATGGAAGTGCGTTTCGCTTACATATACACGATATCTACGGTTATTTTATTGTTTGTCACGGATCGAATTTTTTAAGTGGAGCTACTATTGTTTTGTTTCAGGTGTTTTCATCACAATATTTTTTCATGATTGTTACACCCTTCTCCGAGCTACTCGGCGCGGTCGGCACTGACGCGTTCCCGTTTTAGGCGACACGTATTATGCATAGTGCCATGAGGACGAAAACCCACGAGCCATTTTATCTGTCGTGTTGTAGTTTGTTACATATTACAAAAAATGCAATTTTTCGGGTTTTTTAATTTATTGTTTTAATATTATTTATATTTCGGGTAGAAGATGGAGGTAACCTTTTCATTCTCAATGCAGGCTTGATAGCTGGTTTGCAGGTACATGTCCAACATCATTTCGGAGCCGTTTTCCTTGTGATGTTGAAATCACTAAAACGAAAAATTTAGAATTAGAATAACTGAAAGCAATAAGCAACACCCGACACATGCCAAAAGATCGAATAGCGAAAGACGGTTGCGGCTCTACCCCCAGATGGCGGTTCGTCGTGAATTAACACTTACCCCCATAACACACCAGACCCCGCCCCGAAGTGAAGTGCACCCCGCAATCGGTGAAAGAAAGACATGCGCGTTCTTGCACGCGTTCTGCGTGTACGCAAAGACCATACAGTTACGCGCACTCAGCGTGCTCTGCGTCAAACGCTCATATACTTGCACGCCTCATGGCGCTCCTGTGTTGTGAGTACAAATAAACAAACAAACAAACAAACAAACAACCCAACACCCCCAACACTCCAACAAACAAACAAACAAACAAACAAACAAACACCCCAACAACCCCCCCAACAAACAAACAAACAAACAAACAAACAAACAACCCAACAAACACCCCAACAACCCAACAAACAAACAAAAAACCCAACAACCCAACAAACAAACAAACGAACAAAACAAAGAACAAAAACATAAACAAAAAAAACACGCAGATAAGGCCTAGCATTGTTATTCAACAATGTGCCTTTTACATAGTTTTGATATCACTACTTACACTTGTAACATTAATCGGAAGGGGTTTTACAGATTTATACTTTAATTCCGTCTTTTTCAGTAAATTGGGGCAATGTTGTCCCTCTCCACCTGCAAAAATGGTGGGTATAGTTTTCTCCGCTCCCTGGATTAAATTCTGACCGTACGTGAGAAGTCGCTAGAGTTCCATTGCGTGAGTTCGGTCTTAACCCCAGACGTGATACGCAAGTGTTCAGAAAGGATTCAGCCTAAAAATTTTAATTAATAGGCATTTAATTCTTTAAATAGAGCTCGCTTACCTCAAAAAGGTAAAAAAAAGTTCACGAGCCACGGGTCAAGATATATCTAAAGCAGAAAAATATTTTGTATGGTTACTCCAGTTACTTCTTGGTAATCTGACGGAACACTCCATTAATTTTTTAGCATGCAGGCACCAATTAGCATTCTGAAAGTACAGTAGACATTGCGACCGGCTGTAGTTTGTTTGGGAGTGGAACAGCTTTCTCAAGCGCGTTCAGTCTACCTCCAACATTAATCACGTCCATGCAGTTCATTAATCATATCAAAAACTTCGACTGAGAGTATCGCGTCTGCCCGCAAAGACACGGTGCCATTTCTCTCTAAGGATTGAAAGCGCCAGAATTTTTCACTTGTACTCTACAAACGGGGGGTGGGGGGTTTCAGGATTCTTTCATAGAAAAAATAAACTTTCGTTTTTTGGAAAAAGAAATCCATTTTACCTCCCCTGGACCCCCCTGGACCCTTTTAATATTGAGTATTGCACAGGTTGGGCTGTTCACAGGAAGCAACAGAATAAGTCCAGTCTTACAGGCGTTATATACCGGTAGTGACTGCTGACAGATAGCTCGGTGCTCCGTGAAGGAGCAATGCAGAGTGTTCTCATTTACTTTGTTATATGCTAGGTTCCTTTCAGGACGTCATTAGAACTAAGTCAATTTTTGAAGCGCCCTCCTAAGTTCACTGCAGGTCTATATTTCCATGTTTTTGTCGTTGTTTTGTTTTTGTTTTTACAAAGACGCGGGCGATATCGAATCTGTTGATGAGGGACTTGAGATCAGTCTAGCTTTATGCGCCACATGCTCTCAGTGATGCAGGGTGAGTCGAGTCAGTTAACCCTGCCAGGACTCAAGTCCAGTCGCCAAAGACTCAAGTAGGACAAAAGTTGAGTCCATTGAGTTTCTGGAGACTTTTGTTTAATATCAATTTTTTTGTAATCCAGCGGATATGCCACTCCATTATCCAACTGTGCATCAAAAATCTTGGGATAGACTTGGCCCTACGCCTATGGAAATTCGCGTAACTCTTCTATCCAAGAACTCAAAGGAAGACAAGGCAGGAGAAGAACAAGGGATTGTACGTGTAAGTGTAGATTACAGAATTACTCCGGAAATTCGCGGGGGTGCAGCCCTAAGACTTGTAAAACCAAATCTCGCCCTTTTGGTCCGGATGTCGTCGACTGAATTTCAAATTGAAATCTCCATTGCCCGCACGGCAGAAATGACAGGTGGAATATCGAAGGTCGTGACATAATTAATAGGATATAAATAAAGGACACCGACAGGAAAGGTCATCTACATAAAAATTGTTTTTATAAGGATGCTTCATAGATAAGCATTTCAGTTGTAAAAGAGAGTAAAACGCACGACCGTGTCTCTCACAATGAGCTTAAAATAAATTGACATAACAGTGGCGTAACTACGAGGTGTTGTACCCATGGCCCCAGTGCAAATGTACACAATCTGTGTACATGTATAAGCTGCAATAATTTAATTTGCTTTCAGATTCCCGTTGTAAACGTGCGTGACCCCGGGTGCCCCTTAGTTACGATACAGACTTCAAACACGTAGGCAGTGTGTCGAGCCGACGTGAAAAACTGATTACGCCACCATCTTTGCAAACACGATCCGTTTATGTTGACTGTGCTCATTGCCGATGCAAAATGTGGATGACCTTGCGCAATGAGGATAGTGATATAATCGATGATGCGGAGTCTGGCAACCTCCCATGACGTCATTACCCATAGGCACACACAACTCCTGCATGCAGCTGATGCATAAAATGCGAAATAAAAATGATAAACAGACTGGTGCCTAGTGAAGCGAGCGAAGAGGAAAATCCTCAAGGTATCATTACAGTGTCTTCTCTTCCGTGTACTCTGGTTACCAGATTGATCTAAACCCACGGAGAAAGGCCGGGCACTTCATGTAGGAAAGCGTAGCGACTTGGCTTGGATTTTCGAGATGTGCGGCTCATTTGGACAGATTTTCACAGCAGTTCAGACTTAGCCGTAACTAATGACAGCAAATAATGAATCTCAGCCGGTGTCGCGGAATTTAATGGAGTTTTTGTGGTGCTATGCGGTGTCTGAATTCGGCAATATTATTTCCAAGTAGTCCGATCATCCTCATCTGGAGACACACCGTACGCACATCGGTGGATCGAGGAGGTGTGTGCACAGAGACTGGCGCCCCTGCGTGCTGCACTAACCGCCGACATGTCTTTACTCTGTGTGTGTGGTAAGAGAAAACCCATGTATTTCAGGGCATAGTCCAGTCAGAAAGTATCAATCAGTTTTTCCTCAACACAATTTCTTTGAATATCTTGATCAGCTCTGGTCTACAACATTGCAAAAACATGATGCTGACCGCTTTCTGCGCGCAGGGCAGCTACACCGGTAGGCTCACACATGCTCACTATGCTCATTACAGAGTCTGCAAATTTAACTTTACACTGAATCCAGAGGACATTTTTTTTGCAGGAAAACCCAGCTGAATTGAACAGAAGGAGGCATATGTTGTAGGCCCTAACCCTAGGCTGTAGTAGTAATCAGGTTGTTAACTGTGTGACTTCCTTTCATGCCTAGGCCTACTTTCATATTATGCTCCAGTTCACATTGTCGATGGGTGTGCGACAGTAGCATTGCCAAGGTGGTGGTGGTGGTGTGGGGGGGATATACAGTGGCAGACTGCAGAACCTTGGATAGGGACTGTAAAAGCAACATCGGTGAAGCAAAGTTTGGATGGCAAACAGATTATAACAAATGCAAAATTGCGAAGGTGAAAGCAGATTTGATGAAAGCATTGCCCTTTGGAAAGGAAAGAGTTCTGGAAAGATTTTCATATACAGACATCACTAACTTTCCCTTGTACCGGTACCTGTAGTTGTTCATCAGTCATCAGAAAGCAATGAAATGTCCCAAAAAGTCAAATTTATCTTGGAGAATACGGTTGCATTTACTTTAAAAAAACATTTAAAAGTTTTAGACCAGTCACATTTGTGGTTTGTACACAGGGTTTCAAGTGATGTCTGTGTACCGTATTTTCAAAGTCTAATTATGCCTATTTTCAGAAAGGAAACTCTTGTTTCTTCATCAGATCTAAATTTGTGTCTGTGTGTCATTCTGATTGCATGAAAACTGTGTAATCTTCAGATTGTGGCTGCATTTTACAGTATGCTACACATAGGATTTGATACCAGGAGCTCATTGGTTTCTCTTGGTCAGTTGAGTCTGGTCAACAAGTGATAAAACTGATACATCACCAGTCTATTTTTTCACTTGTCCGCAGGAAGTTTCACTAGTGCACTTGCCTTTTTTTTTTAGCAAGGCTAGCTTTGACTAGGTCTTTTCAACTTCATTATTGCAACATTACTGTGGAGTCTTACTGTCAATTCTGAAACTGACAAGGGAAGATTTAAAACTGTTTTGTACAATTAATAATAAACAATGAACAATCAGTTGCACAATGTTTATGTTATTCGTCTTTATAAATATTACAAATAGCAGTTTCAAACAGGGGGCTTTTCTTAAGTACTAGTCTGCCAGGCAAGTTAAAAATTGCATTTTACTAGCCCTCAGCAGTTTTAACTAGAATTTGTACATCAGTCAAATGCTAAGGTTGAGGCCTGACATCAGACAGTAACCAGTGCATCCAAATCAATTAACTCATCTGTCATACCTTCGAGATCCCTGCTACATGTACAAATGCAGCACTTGGATGAATCTGAGGCCCCAAAAAGTGACATCTTTGGTGTCCCTGTTTCACCTGACCTTTTCATTTATTCGTTTGTTATTTCTCAGGGTACAAAAACAAACACAAAATACAAAAACCGATACATACCAATATATAGGAACAATATTTACTGACACCCCTGACGGATAGCCTAAAAGCGAACTCAATCACTGTCGAGAGGGTCTCCAAAAAAAAATGTCAACAAATACAAAAAAACCACTAGATAAAAAATGACTTAAAATACAAAAATGCACAAAAATAAAACTAGATAAATAAACAACGTAATCCCTCTTGGAGATGGAAGGCATTAAAAAATGTGTCTTGAATGTACAAAATCTTCAGATGAAAGAGGGCAATTTAAAAAAAAAATGGTCCCCAAATTTATAGAATGATCCATTAGGTAGCCAATTGAAGGGAAGTACTTACCCATGCCCCACCCCACCCCATTCTCGTTAAGCATTTAAATTGAAAAAAATATTCATTTGATAGGGAGACACTCGTATGCAGCTTTACCTTGTTTCCCCTTCTTTCTCTTTTGTTTCCAGCCGGCCAGTTAATAATTCAGAAGACATACATGTGTAAATTATCACTAAAATATGCCCGCTCACACATGTATGTTTTGTTTCCATTTTCCATTTGCTCCCCTTTTTTGTCAGTGCATGGTGTCCCACCCCCTTTGAATTATCTTCATAAATTGCTCAAGAAGTCATTTGAACAAACTCAATCTCATACATTGTTCACCTGTCACATTCACACACTTCATCCCCCATAATACAGTGTTGCAGTGTTCTCTTTCAACAAGAAATGTGCACAATTTGTTGCGATTTCTATTGTTTCTGTTTCGCTCTATTGCATTCAGTTTACTTGTTGCTGTTGTTTTATTTCCAGTGTTGTATAAAATCTTTTATGCAATTTTTGTCTACAAAACATGTTTTTATGCACGTTTAGTTTAGTTTTATAGTATTTCTTTTTTCCCTTTAAAAAATGACTTGTCTACTCATTTCGCAAAATTTGCACACACTAAAAGATTTGTTGTGATGGTTGATATTTCCCATTCAATAATAGCTACATGTACATGTACATGTAGAGTACATGTACCAATTTACAACACTTGACCCACAAATTCTGGTTGTTCTATTGGTCAGCAGAACCGCATGTGGTAGTCACTCATTTCACTAGTTTTGCCATGTTTGCTGGGGAATATACTACCAGTTGGCCTACTGTCAGAAAGTACTATCCAGTAGATCCCACGTTCGCAAAAGCACTAGATCCTATTTGTGAGTGTGATAGTGACTTTATCTTCAAGCAAACTTGAAGCCCAGTAAAGATGTTATAGGAGCCTATACCGGTATGTATTGTGCAAACGCACCAGCTTTCAATTTACAGTAAATTTTGCAGCTGAATGCTTTGCTTTTAGCATAAAAATAGCACAATGCATTGAGTTAGAATAGTGCCTTATGCGGGGTTTGATACAGTTGTATTTATAAACCGTGCAGTGTATCACACTGTTTGTTGCCATGGATTGACCAATCAGAATTCAGAATTCAAGTTTGCTTACAGATAAAACATGCACATTATATGTCATGCTGATGCTGTACATGTATGTAATGTGTACCAAGTACCAAGACAGCAACAGCTGCCTTGGAAAAGCAACTTGTTGCTAGCAAAGGTTGAAAAGAAAAACATACATGTATATCAAACAAGCTCACAGAGGCTAAGAACATGCATGCACATTATTCCTTTTGAATTTTAATGGTGTAATTTTGTCACGCTTTGAATTACGCATTAATTCCCGCAGTCCACTGTGCGGATGACGCAACCCATCCAGAGCTGGCCATAGTTGATATTCATTGCATAACAATTACTCACGTAACGATGTAATGGTCCATCAGGAAAAGTACATCAATAATCCCATTATTTCTAGCATCGCCCATCACAAGTAGAAAGCCAAAACCCATTAGCAGGTGAAATGAATGTCGGTAGTGAGGATGGCTGCATTGTCCGCAGCATCGTTAACATCATTGTGGGAAAATTCCGTCATGTTTCATCATGTGAAGTTTAATTGTCCATAGCTGAGCAAATTATGACCTGTTCCATTGTAATACAAAGAAATGAATCGAATGGAATGAATTAAAGTCTTTGACATGATTGGAATGGTTAAGTTTAACGTTTACCAGTGTGCAAGCATCTGACGCTGGTCGGAAAACCAGCAAAATATTTGTACCAGCAAATATACACTGGTCAAGTGTGAATACACACACTGATTGCTGAAATCTTATACATGTATGCAATGTGGATGATACCAGCAAAATATTCTCTTGAAATGAGCACATAGTATACATAATGTACATTTATGTATAATCATGTACATGTACAGTATGCCCTCAACAAACTTAATTGATCCCAATATCAACTGAACCAAATGCTGTGAAAAAGATTCCAGTAACTTGGTTTTTACAAAGTAAGGGTGCCCAATACATGTACTAGCAATTTGACTGTGAAGTTACTGGCATGCCAGTACAGGGCATGTACATGTACATACAGTGTACATGAGCCAGATGCATCCTAATAAATTGTTGTATTGATATCAGACCATGTTTAAAACTGTCCATTGCTTCAACAATATTTATAATGTGTGTGGATTGTGTACTAGTTACAGTTGCAGTTTTAAACCAGGCAGAGATAAACTTTTGTTCCAATACATGCAATAAAGTTTCTTATATTGTACATGTATACATGTACATGTATCTGCTAATTTTCTGGTCAGACCAATTGAAAGGAGTCAGAAGACTAAATTCAAAGCAGGTTCCAGACATGAAAAACATTGATTTTATAACTGATGTTTCTGATGTCCAAAGGTCAACAATCATCCATTTTGAATGTGTGTTTTAAAAATGTTAGATTTCATGTTTACGTGTTCAATATCGATATGTTCGTAGGCTGCTAACAGAATATCAGGGGTAATCAAAACGGCAAACACCACCGGTATATTATTTTGACAAAATGTGACATGTCATTTTCTCTGGCAGTAGGGCTATCAAAGAAGCTGAAAAGAATTTCTCGGCCACAGTTTCCTCAAGCGTATCACACTGCAGATCTATTCTGTTCATCTCTAGCATAATCGCTTCAAAATTCACATAAATGTAAAACAGATCAGCGATACTGCATAAATTTAAATAGGCATGCTTAACTCTGAAGTTCATTTTACAAATAAACAAAAAGAAACTGAGATCTTCATTTTTACAGTGTTTTGTTGAAATTTATACATGTACACATGCTGATGGTTTACTTTCTGCTTTCTTGTCTTTTGCAGTCAAAAAGGCCGTCTTGGATGGACCAGCAGGTAAGACCAACCTCAAACTGTTTTATGATTGGTCCAAGGACCTCGATTTATTGCATAAATTGCCAAATAGCATTAGAACTCCCGTAACCAGCCTTGTCTTGAAGCAAATGTGCAGTTAAAGTTGACCATCCAGCTCTATATTTTATTCAGTTTCTTCATGCACCAGTATGCCAACAATTTTATTTGGAAATTGTCAAGTTGTGCAGGTGGGCTGATCATTAGGCGTTAAATTGCTTGCCGTGATGATCAGTGCACAATGTCACCTTCTTGCTTGCTGCTAAGCAGGGTACATTTAGACTTACCGGTATGTTACATGGCACCCAGAATTATGAGCCATTGCTGCGGTGCTACCAAGCCTTTGCACAGGTTGAATGTACACATTCCTCTTTGACCAGAAGGCCAGTGGCACAACCAGGATTTGTCATAATTGGAGGGAGCTGGCTGATCTGATTTACATGCAGGCCTACTTCATGTTTCACGATGCCTACCGTACTTCCGGTATAAGTACATTGTTAAGTGCAAAAACCTGGGATCATAATTTACCCCAAAGTGTGAACATGTACAGTAGCTCATGATGTACGTGCATGTAGTGGAATGTAAGGTACATGTACACTGTGTTGGGGATGGAAAGGGGTTTTCTGAGGAAAGGGGTTTCCCTGAGGTCCCCCTTGGGTGTGCCACTGTAGCGGTAGTAGGCTTTTGTAACTTGCCAAACAAGCGAGCACACATCAAATAATGGTGCCTCAGGGCCTGGAGTAGCCCATTGCCTGTGGAAGTTTTGTCCGCCAAGCTGGCATGGGCAAAGAGCCAGCCGCAAGCAGCGTAATATTTGCATTGACTTTTTGGCCGGCAACCCAATTTTGGCTGGGCAAATACCATTTATGCCCAGCAGGCCCCTGAAATGGGTCACTGGTGGTGATGACTTTTCGCCAGGCAAGTTGATGACAGAACTTTGTCTGAGTAAATGGCCATGGCCTCTTATGCATTATTCCAAAAAATCGTTGCGGCTAGAAGTGTGTTGGGAGCCCATGGGAACCATTTGCTGCAACCATACCGGTCGCTGTTTCTCATGGATGTGTACATTGCTACAAGCCATAGCCAGTGGATTCGGTCATGTCTATATTTGTCCTGTCCACAGCATTTCAATCGTGGCTCTGGTATTGAAGACGTCTGACTCTAGGGAATGCCTTGTGGGATAAAGTAAAATATAATGGAGGGAGATAAGGAGACAAAATGCTGTGGTAAGCAGTACATTAATGCACTGGTATGGTGCACCGGTACATAGTAACTGCTTTCCAGCCTTCAGGTTTATCAAATAAGTTTTGAATGGATTCAGTTCTTAAAATTGTCTCTTTTATTTGACTCTCAGTTGCGGAACTTTATTGAATTACTAGAACGTTAACTTCTCTGCGCAGAAAAAATTTGACGCCGTCCTGGGTGCAGACATTTTGAATCCATGTGCGTGCTTGTAGAACATTCAGAATCAGATACAATGAATATTGAATTATGTATTCTAAATGCAACGCGCATTGGGTATCGCTAAACTCCAGTTAGAAATGTCATGGCAACGTTATCTGCAGTGCATGCATTTGTGTTGATTTAGGCAGAGCAAAATCAAATGTTCCTTTGCTGATTGTAAGGTAGTTTTTGCATATCGGCTTTGCTAACATAAGTGTTTTAGAATACATATAGCTGTACAAAAGCGGTACAAAATTTTGAGTTTTCCCCTATGTGTATGCACAGACATGGATGCGCCCAGCAGGCTTCACTTTGTACATGTACATGAGTCAGCGCTCTACCGCTAGTTTTTAATACATGTCGCTCTGTGCTCAGTCTCTTTGTTTCTGATTAAACAAAAGGCTTCCAGAAGACAGCAAAGCAAATTAATCCACTCTTTTCTGTGATTCCACTGTAAACAAGAAGCATAAAGCCTTGAGGTGTTTGCTAAAGCACTTGTTTCTTCACCTGGGCAAAGTTTTGCCTTGTGGCAACAGTTTTTGTGCTATTTTTGATCTGTTTGCTGTGGGAAACAGTGGCGAAATCCTGTTTGTCTTTGCCTGGCCCATTCTGCTGTGCATAAGTCTCTCGGTTTCAAGTTCAGGAGAGTGGAGGCTCTGATGTTTCCCCTAGGCTGCCGAGAATTTTGTTTCCACCCGGAGGTGATTGCTAAAAGTGTGTGACACGTTTCAGCAGCAACTTTTAAAGCCTTGTGGTCTCATGGCGGATATCTCTGTCAGGTGGATTTTCGCCAGCGACAACATCCCTGCTCAGGTCTCACAGCAAAATTATCAGGTACCCACAAAAACTCACACGCGCAACCTAAGAAGGAAGTTATACACGTAGATACTGACTTTGCCGTGGGCCAATTCACATCCATGTACCATGACGTCACTCCCTAGCAACGCTCTTTAACGCTATCTGCGATAAAGTGTCGCCGAGCCACGGAAAGTGGTTTGGGAAAATTGACATTTCATATCTGCCTGTTTGCTTGTGCGTATGTGTATACTTGGGAATTGAATGGTGTCAACTGTCAGAGAGAGGGGGAAGCGAGGGCTTTGTCCAAGAGCATCCAGGGACTGCCTAATGCCAAACCTTGCCAGATACCGGTACATACACCTACAATGTGTACATGTAGGCTCAGTTAATCCCATTTCTACTGCAGGAGCTTGGAATCTAAGAGAAAAAACAAAAAAAATAAAAAACCCTTGTTGAAGACATTGAACGGAACCTAGGCAAAACCACTGGTCTTGTACCACTAATTAACAAACTAACTGATGAAAGCTCTGCTTTATGTACTGAACATACTTTAATTAAGCCACTCCTGAAACTGTTTGTCTTTCTGCTGTATGATGGATTAGCTCCATAGACTCTCCACTGTATAATCTCCACCCTTCAGCAGAGCTTTTCTAAAAGGTTCCACAGTGACACACAGATTGCTATCTATGGATACAACTGTGGTGGGGTTGGGTGGTGAACCACAGAACTGACAATGTGTACATAGTGTACTCCCTCTTCAGAAGTTAATAAAACTACCTATTCCATATCACTGTGTGTCTGCTGTATGCAGTGTTTGAGTTCATTTATGTATGAAAACATACTGGACATGTACTTGGTTACATGTATGTACATGTACATAGTCCCAAACAGTTTATTTGTGTGGTTCATGTATCTCAGTGATGCCAAATTTGTAGAGAATTCACCTGCTAAACAAACCTGTGACAAATTTGTTGAAATTGCTCAGAATTTACACAGGTACATGTACATGTGCAGTGTACAATGTACACGTATGTACTTTTACCATATACTGGTAGCCTCAGTACTGAATGGTACGGTAATTAAACAAAAAAATTGTGAGGTTTCATCTGGGCTTGGAGGGTGTGGAGTTTTTTAATGAACAAAAGAAGTGAATTTGAGCACAATACGGGTACATGTACATATGTACTGTACCTGTACATGTCTGTACATGTAAGTTTACTGGTACAGGGATTTCACTGACAAAGCCGTATGGCTATACCGGCATACGTACATGTACATGTAGGCCTACATGTACATGTAGCTAGATTTGTTTACAGTTTTAAGATATGGTAGGTGTTAGCCTTCCTCCATCGTGTTAGGAACCGGACAGTCCTGTGTCTACTTGAAGCACAGCCCTCGTCCCTGTCAACAGTGTCAACATAGCCATGCATGAAGAAAAATGACCAGAGCTACATGTACATATGCATTGTAGGTCTGATGTTTGCACACTGGTACTCTGTGGGAATGGAGGGTGGTTATCCGTTAGGGCTTTGCATAGGAAGATGAAGAGGAAACGGTATAGTACATAAGGGATGATGATGGAGGGGAACTTGGCGTACTCATGTCGTTGGATGAGAGACACTTGAACAGCTGAAAAGCTTTTTGGCCCGAACCGAGAGATATTTATCCAAAACTCTCAGAGCTTTGCTCCTACATTTTCATTTGTGCAGGACTGACAAATGGGCCTGTAGTGTGATGAGGGAGTCTGCCAGTTGTCTGGTCGAAGTGCATCAAGAACACTTCTTGGCCCAGTGTATTATTTCAGCAACGTTATTGGTGAAGCCTACATCGTAAACGCACAATATAAGGCCTACAGCATACTGTATGTGCCCCTGATGTACCGTACATTTATTAGTACATTTATGTAGCGGTACCGTAGTACATGTGTAGTTTTCATGGACGTCCATCACCATAGCGATTCCGCATGGTGGCACGAGTGTTTCACCGGCCCTTATCCAAAGATGGTGCCATCTCAGTGAGAGAGCTGGTCAATGGCATGCACACCTGGCCTCCATGGCAAATGCAAATTGTAGTGGTCCCCCCCCATGGGTAATAACTCTCTTGCCTATCTTGCTGTGGTCACATCGAGTCACGCATGGGATAGGCTGACACACACACACTGTAATATGCATCCCCCTACCCTATGACTGGGCATTTTGTACAGTGCATGCAGTACACCAGTATCCTCAGTATGTTTGTATAGTTCTTTACTAAACGTATGATCGAAACCCCTCACTTACTTTTTGTGTACTGAATCTCACTAAAGCCAGAAGCCAGATGAAATGACCCTTGACTCAGGCAGTATGACCCCAAAATTAATTGAACAACGTCATGCTCAGATATCATTGTCTCCCCCTCATTTCCATACCAATCAGAATTTAAACACTCGAAGTCCCTTTGCTAACTCGCACATAATAAAAATCCATATATTTTCTGTCAAATTTTTGCCCGTCTTTATCACATGAGTACCTCCAAAGTAACAGAAGTTGGAACTGAAGCCATAATTTTAGAGCTTTTTTAGTTTTGTCGGGTTTTCCTTGATATTTCTTTACTTGTGAATGGTGAGGAATATCATGAACGCTCTAATAAGTATGTATCATGCAAGAAGGATACATGAATGAGAACAGAAAGTTTTAGTAAGTGCCTTTTAGTCGGGCAATTGACGTTAGTGTATTGCAGTGCAGTAAAAGTCAACTCATACCCAA